GGTGTTGGGCACCTCCTAGTGTCTGAGCTGTCCTGTTCCCACACTAAACCAGTGTGTTTAGCTGGGGCTTCCTTCCCACTATTGTTTTGGATGCCTTCTCTGCTCTGGGCACGTCCTGGTCAGATCCATAGTTTTTAGGACCCAGCTGTCTTGTGCTTCAGTGGCCCATGTTGTTGGTGAGAAATCTTTGCCTAATTTGGAGGTTGTAGCCAGTCTTTGGCTAGTTTGCGGGTTCTTTTTTCCACCTGATTTACTCCCTATCACTTGATAGGAAAGAAAGAACAGAGGGAGCAGAAAAAGATAGAAATCCTTGAATCTAATGTCTTTATTTCTTCTCTAAGCATGACTACTAACAACCAAAAACAGCTCCCCAGAATGACCACCAACCACCAACCAAAAACACCTACAGGGGCTCTAGCATTTACTACCCTCTGAAAAGTTTCCAGAATTCCAAATGTCACACAATTACAGAAATAATCTGCAGCTGGCAAAATCATGCTTTTGCTAGAGCACAAGGCAAATCATAGTCATCTGCTGAGAAGCAGCCCCATGCCACACACCTGGGATTAAAACAAAAACATATAATATTGCTGTGTTTTTTAAAGAAACCAAAAATTCCAGAATCCTCAGTACAGGAGGGCCTAGAGAGCTCCTCAGATGCTCCTCCAGAAGTTTCAGCTTTGGTTCTGTCTTCAGCGCTGCAGTCTGTTTAGAGGCAGGTCTGTGTGCTTGCAGTTTAATCTTGCAAATGGTTGCCCAGTTGCTCAGCACTGTGTGCTGGAGTGCTCACTGCACCTTGTCAAAACCACCAAGTGTACAGGTGAACTGGACTCTGCCATCTGCACACCTCTAGGTCAGGAATCCTGCTCTTCTCCTCACTGTAGGTAATTCCTGAGAGAAGCCACACTGGCTCTGGCTTTGTTCTTACTTTCCATATTTTGGCATTCTTGTAAGAATTACAATACAAATACAATTACAATACTGGTGTCTGTTTCTAGGAATTTGACAAGACTCTCTTGACTCCTGTCCCATCTAGGAAGAGCTGTGGTGTTGTTAGGGGTTTCTATTTGTTTGTTTTGAACTTGGCATGTTCTTGGCCCTCACGTGGGTGGCTTTCAGTTCTTAGGTGCTTGAGTGGGTCTCATGTTTGCTTATCTTCTCTTCTCAGAGTGTCTATATCACTGCTGAAAATGTTGGACCAGCTGTTGGCCAATGGGTGCTTCGACATCTTTACCGCTGAGGAGAAGTAAGTATCTGCTCCCTTAGTGCTCCCTGTCTGGTGAAGCCTAGTTGCCCTAACTGCAAAGATTTTATTGATTTGGTGTCTCAAATCAGTAATTGACTAGCTTCAAAGTCATGATCTTGTCCCGTTAGCCTTGCATGTGCTGGGATTACCAACCTGTGGCTACCACATCTGGCTGTTATTTTAACGAGAGAACACTTGGCTCAGGACTCAGACTTGGACAGGTTAGGTGGCCCACCCTAACCTGGGCCGGTAGGCAGAGAGACTGGAGGTGATGAGGTTGAGATACGATAAAGGCTGGATGGATACAGGGCGGTATGTGGGCTCCATTAAGGGACCTGGGAGTATGGCTGTGCCCATCACAGCTGGACAGAGGCTATGGGGCACAGGGCACAGTAGAATCAGCTGTTTCCTACTGTGTGTGTTTTGTGGTTCCTCGGCCTCCTGTCTAGGGAGCAGGCAGCCTTGCTGCATGGTCTCTCTCTCTTTAAGCCCTGGAGCAATCTAAGTGCCAGACTGGCTTCCTGTATGAGTGATACCACCTTGGTGATTCCTATGAATGCCTGTGATCTTCACCAAATTCTCTCTTGTTGGTTTGGACAGCTTTGTAGTTGATGAAGATTTCTGAGCATCTACAGCACCAAAGATAAGTTACTTAGAAACTGCCTGCTAATTTTGCTTTTGAACCAACTGGTGGATTCAAATCAACCGGTTGATCTTCCCCCCTGTCTTATACTACTGTTCACTTTCTATTTGCTGCCCCAGTAAGAAGTTCTGTGCCCAGTGGTTTTTTTTTTTTTTTTTTTTTTAATTTATACAGCACGCCAGAAGAGGGCACCAGATCTCACTATAGATGGTTATAAGCCATCATGTGGTTGCTGGGAATTGAACTCAGGACCTTTAGAAGAGCAGCCAGTGCTCTTAACTTCTGAGCCACCTCTCTAGCTCCCTCTGTGCCCAGGTTTCCTGTAATTTTCTGGTGTCCCTTTTATTTTTATTTCTTGTTCCTTTCCTCCCTGGCTCTGGGGCAGTGTCTTCGTGCTTAACTGCGGACCAGCACTCGGGTGAACCCTAAGGCTGGGCGCCCCTGTCTTGGCGCTCTGCCCTGAGATCTTGTATACCATCCCACACGCAGGGCTACTGTGGACCAGCTTGTTTTGCTTATAGTCTCTGGTGTCTTTGGTTTTTTAACTGTTTGTCAAGGAGGTTAGATCTGTCTCTGCTGTATGCTGTATGGCTTTTAATCTGACACCACACGACTCCCCTGGTCTTCTAAAACCTGCTGCTGGGACAGCTTAAATGCACAGGTGTGAAGTCTGGCTGTGACATTCCTTCCACATTGCTGCCTTCATCTTGGAAAATATTCTAAGGATTTGACATGTCTCTATGTCAGGAGTCCTGCTCTTCTCCGGCTTAAAATTTTCAAAATAAGATAGTAGGAAAATATTTCATGATACAGATTTTAAATTTCTATTTGGTTTTTGCTTTACGGATTTAAAATTTTTGGCACATAGAAATGCAGGGCTGACTCTCGCCAAATGATCGTTTTGGAAGAGCTCCTGCTTACAGTCTGCTCTGACTTTGTTTAAACTTGGGATTGCAGTTTTTTGTTTTCATCATTTTCTTTGTTTTTGTGTGTTGGTTGCTAATAGCATATGTAGTTTTGTGAAATTTCAAGCTGACAAGCTGACTTTCCACTGGGTCCAGAAATCTGTCCCCTTTAATCTTATCAGTTTTCTCGTTGCAGTAGTTCTCTGGTTGTTCCATGGCTTTCTTCTCCTGTGAGTAGCAAAATCACTTCCCCATTTCATTTCCGTCGTTTGTGTGGGTCATTCTACTGTTTTCTATGCTCGTGGATGGAGAGTCCCTGATAATACTCCTATTCACTGTGCTTTTGCACAGTCAATGCTTGAGGAAAAAGAGCACGAAGAGGGGGCGTGAATGCTGCTCGGTGTGAAGGGCGGCTGTGGCAGATAAAGGCAGCTTCTCAGTGTGTAAGACAGCCTTTAGGGGCAGGGTGACCACCCAGGTGACAGCCTCACAGCTAGAAGACATCCCTTCACTTGCCTCTGCTGCCTCCCGTGTGTCCAGCTGTGCCCTGTGAGCAACTGTGGTCCTCTCCTCAGCTGTTCTCCTTGCTGGTGTTTTTTCTTAAACATCATCCTGTCTCTTCTTCAGTTTCTTCCTACAGATTCCTACTTTTAAGTTCACTTATAGAATTGTTTCTTAACACGTTTTCAGGGGCTAATTTCCATACCTTGGTATTTCCATATCTACTGTATTACACTTCCTTCTCTGTAGCCCTGTGTCCACCAGTCTACACGGTTATGACTAGAAGGTGTGTCCACTCTGCATCTTAGCTGTGTCTGGGTATTGTGCTTGCAGAACAGCCTGGAAGTGAGAGAGGCCTGGGCAGAGTGGACGTTCAGCCACTAGGACTTGAGTGTGCCTTTTCCAGGCACTGTGGGCTTTCTTGACTGCCTAGAGATGCTGTGCTCTGGAGGGCAGGAGGCAGGTCCACAGGTCCGCCTCTCCTGGGAGTGCCTTCTGAGTGCTAGTGTATTCGCCCCCTGCTCCTAGAGGCTCTGAATCTAGGCTTACCTCCCTGGAGCTAGGCGGCATATGGGCGGCAGGTTGGGGCCATGTTAGCAATATTTGTTGGGGTCGAGGTAGTAACTGGCCGTTACTGATCAGGCCTGAGCGTGTCCGGCAGGAAAAGGAACTGGACAGTGGCCGACCCATGAAAATGTTGCAGACAGATGTGAGAGTAAGGGAGCCATAGCAGCTGAAAACTTTCTGGCCTGTGTGTCTCTTTCCCAGCAGGGATCTTTAGACCAGCAGGTGTGGCTGGGAAAGCCATGGCACCTCACTCAGACAGAGATTAGGCCACGTTCCTCAGAGGGCTCTTGCCTATTGGGATTAGCTCAGTGGGAGTCTGTAAGGAACCCTGGTGTGTGAACTCACAGGGCTTCCGAGGACCACAAAGTGTCTGTGTCTGTGTTACCTATAAGTCCAGAAGAGCATTGCCGCTGTGCACGAGTCCTATGGGGAGGCTGGCTGAGGACAGAGTCCTCATGCAAGCTGGGGTGGCAAGCAGCAGCCCTCAGCAAACAAGCACTTTAGGGAGCTAGCCAGGGAGGAGTTACAGCCCATGTGACCCGGGCCAGCCAGGGCTGAGCTGGTGGCTACTGTGGTGCACTGGCCCAGTATCGGTAGTCACTGGAGGTGACCTGGACTGTTCCTCCAACCCAGGCTTGTCACATGGTTTCTTTCCACGAGGTAGCTCTTGCTGGTATGGTCTTTTTGTCTCAGGTCGCTTGGATATGGTCAAATCATGACTGTGCCAGGCCTGCCCCTTTCCCCCACAGGTGTTGAGTACCATGGGTGATGTGGGTAATGGAGCATCTTATGGGTAATGAGGTAGAACATCTCTTCTCTGCTGTGCATGTTGGGAACCAAAAAAAAGTGGCTGAGGTCACATGGCCCAGCATCTTGGGGCCAGCTGGCCTTCAGGCCACTTGGTACGAGCAGCACCACTGTCTGCGGCTGCAGCATGTGTCATATTTACTGTGTATCCCTGTGAAAGAGCTACTTACAATAATGTTTTCTCCTTTAAGCCACCCCTTTTGTGTGAAGTTGCTCACACTTTGTAAGGAAGAAATCAAGAAATCAAAAGACATCCAGAAACTCCGGTCAAGCATTGCGGTGTAAGTTTTAAGTGCTCCTGCGTGGAGACAGAGACAGGAGAACTTGGTGGTTCCTGGTGGAAGACAGAGTTTAATCACAAAGCTGCTTAAAAATGGAGTGTGGGAGTGCTCATTTAGAGAAGGAAAGGGCAGACTGTTACCATCAGCAGTGGCGGCTACGGACCAGAACAGGAAAGCTGGGTCTCCATTTGTCACTTGCTCAGGAGCCTTGCTGGCCCTGTAGCTGCCCAAAGGCCATCATAGGCTCCGACACACCTATGCTAGTGTAGGGATCTGGGACATGGGCACGTACACACGGGCACAGGAAACTGGTCATGTACGAGCAATCATGTGAGGTATACAAACATGCACACAGGAGAGTGTTCGAGTCTGGACACACAGGCACACACTTGCCAGCACCCGATCTCATGTATAGGTGAGCACATGTGCATACATGACTGTAGATGACATGGGAGCACACTAATGCACAGCGCACGTGTGGCTATAGAGGTATGCACACATACTGGCACAGGACTCAAGGTTTACTGTATACTTTTTGGGTCTCCCGTAGGCTCTGTGGAATGGTGCAGTTCAGCGGTGATGTGAGAAAGAAGGTTCTTCTGCAGCTGTTCCTTCTCCTTGGCCACCCTTTTCCCGTGGTGAGTGTGCCTGCCCCCACCTCAAGGCCATCTGCCTAGGACCCAGATCTGCATGGCCTTTAACAGTGACTGTACGTCAGTTTAGAAATGAACAGGCTGAGATGATGTGCCTGTGGGTATGGTTTCCAGGCGTAGGCAGCCCTGGGATTCGGCCATCAACTGGCTGGTGTTGGTAGGAACGGAATGTGGGTGCTGGCACTGGGTAGAGCGAGCACGGAGACGCATTGCTGAGGGTAGGGTATTAGAATTATAATCCTAACAGGCCAGGGTCAGGATTCTCCTCTTTCACCCAAGAAGGGTAAGGGACCTTTACAGTGGGTTTTTGAGACAGAGTGGGATGACCCCATGGCTTACCGTGTTTGCCAGAGATGTACATTACTAGAGGTAGATCAGACCTCATACAAAGTAGTTTGTCACAGGACATAAACCAAAAAAAGACAGCAAGACAGACAGATTCCCTTGGAGGAGTCCGTACTGCACTTCTGACAAAGGCCGAGGTCCTTCCTCTCTGCCGCATGTCTGTGATGGCAGCAGTATCTGGGCTGGGGCCGAGTCTTTTTCCTCCTTTCGTGGACCTTCCTAAGACCCCCGTGGGGCTCCCCAGGTGGTGATGGGTTTCCTCCTGTTGACCTGCTGATCTTGCTGCAGATCCGGAAGACCACAGCGAGCCAGGTGTATGAGATGGTGCTGACCTACAGTGACTTGGTAGACCCTGCTGTGCTTGACGAGGCCATGTCTGTGCTCAGCGACACAGCCTGGTAAGTGGGCCTGCCTGAGCCCCGTCGCTTCTGCCGAGAGGGGAGACCTCCCCAACACTCAGCAGCTCGGGGCCACCTCAGAGCTTCACAAAGGGTTGAGGACACGCTCTGGGAGCTTCAGGCGGGAAAACGTTCAATGTGCAATTGCTTTTCTCCTCTTGTGAGCAAGGTGGCTAGGGTGGTTAACACCTCTGCTTGTCAGAAGGCGGTGGTCCTCAGTAACTGGAGTGTAAGGCCAGCAGAAGCCACCAAGCGGATGTCAGCAACTGAAGGCCTGGGTGGTCTCTTCCGTTTTAACAGCCTCAGAGACTTGTCTCCAAAGTCAAGAGGTGCAGGAGTGGGTGGGGGAATATACAGCCCGTTGGTGTGGGTCACAGGTTCTAGGCTGGGCCAGGAAACAGCTGTGGTCACAACAGCAAGAACTTATGACCTGTGATCCAGGCACTGCACATGCATGGTCCTGTACGCATTTATCTGCAGGTTTGCAGATGACATACATAAAGCTGCTGATGTAAACACACAGTCATGTGTATGTGCATATACCCACAGAACTGTCGCCTGTCCCCTGTTCTAGATACACTATTTGAGAGGCACAGGCAGGTGGCCCAGGTTATTGCTACTGCCTGTGGACACTGTCCCTCAGACTGCTAGAGGGAGAGTGCTGGGACTGACCGGGTTGCTTCAGCAAGTCAGGGTTTGCGTTATTCACGCCCGCCCCTCGGAACAGTGGCATCCCTAGGAACTCATGCTAGGACGTGGCCTTCCTGCCTAGATGAGAGCTGTGACCGGGAAGCTCAGAGCTCACTTTTTCTGCCAGTAGGACCTCTACTCAGTGCCTTCTGGGGAGACAGTGGACATTGCTTCCAACACGTTTTTTACAAGGTTTCTTTATTGTGAACACAGTGTTCTCTGTACGTGTCCACCTGCACACTCACCCTGAGTAAGGACATCAGGGAGAAGAGGGACTTCTTTGTGTGCCTGTGAGTGCAGTTGCCTATGGAGGCCAGAAAAGGGTGTCAGGTTCCCCTGGAGCTGAGGTTGCAGATGGCTGTGAGTTGCCCCCTGGAGGCGCTGGGAACTCTACTCCTCCAGAGCACAGTACCTGGTTTACAGAGGAGCTGCCCTTATAACTTCTTTACATACAAAAGAAGCCATTTGCAGTACCTCTCAGCCGCATTACGTCTTCTAATGAAAGCAAGCGATGGCTGAATACCTAGAGCTGCAGAGGCTTTAGCCTGAGGTAGAATTTCTTCTGGGTGAGCCCCTAAAACAGGGTTTCTAGGTTTTCCTGGTGTCTACACTGGGGGTAGGGTTTTTTGCCCCAACATCACCAGATCTCATGGGGTGGGGGAGCTGAACCATGTGCCACGGGGCACTCAAATGCTTTCCTCTGTAGGGATGCAGAGCTTCCAGTTGTAAGAGGGCAACGGAATCACCTGTGTGACCTCCTTGGCGTGCCCAGACCTCAGCTCGTTCCAAAGGTAATACTCTAGTATTCTGAGGACATATGGCACCTGTGTCATCTGCTCTGAGCTTTGGTCTAAAGTAAACTGGGTCCCACGGTCAGTATTCATCTCGGCTGTGAACTTTTCCAGACCAGCTGGGAGTGCTGTTTCTCCAGAGGGGGCAGGTTCTGTCTTCACAGTGTGGTGCTGGGTAGTCAGCTGTTGGAGGCCCCGTGCTGTCTCAGCGTCTGTCTTCTGGGAAAGAAGCTTCCCCCGTGTGGAAGGCGGCTTTGGCTCCCTCAGCATTCCCTGCCCGGATGTACGTCCTGTTAGGGGCTGTCTTCCTCCAAGGACACCTGTGCCACCTTCATGGACTCCTGTCCCACTGGGGCCTTCTTGGCTGTCTGTGCTGTCTTGGCCTTGCTGTGTTTCTAAAGCCCTTGTGCTGAGGTTGCATGTTAAGTTGTGAAAGCTGCGATCTGTTGATATCTTGGGCTCTCTTCCTGTTTTGAGGCTCAGTCTGTCTGTAGGGACTTCAAAAAAATTGTACATATTGACGTTTTCATCCCAGAATCCTGCTCCTAGCTTATTGCTCTTCCCACCCCTTTGTACGTGGTCTCTGGGGCTGTGCAGAAGCACCAGCTGAGGGCGCCTCACCCACAAAGGGCTGGGCTCTCCACATCAACAGTAATTAAGGAACTGCCCAACAAGCTTGCCTACAGCCTTAAACTTATAAAGATGTTTCTCAAATGAGAGGTCCTCTTCCCAGTGACTCTAGCTTTTGTCAAGTTGCCATAAAACTAGCCAGTCCATACAAGCTTCTGAAAGCTTGATGTATTGCCTTTTCACATAGAAATGCAGTTTGCTTGGGACCAGCTATGGTGTGGTGGGAAGGTCATGTTCTGCTTCCTGTGTCAGCCAGCCCCACTGCAGTGTCCTGTGCCCACCTTGGTACTTCCTTTATACCCTGATGATACTGTCTGTGCAAACTGTATGGTGGAGGAGGTGTGGGCCTCACAGCAGGTGTGCTCACAGGCCCATTTTCCACTTTTATTCTGTCCAAGATGGTTTTCACTCTTTTTGATCCTTGGTTTGGTTAAACTCTCAGAACTAGTTTGTCAGTTTAGAACTAGCCAGCTAGGTTGGCCCGGGACCATGTTGGGGCTAGAGGGAGCTGAGGTCCCTGAGTGCCACTAGACCCTGGGCACTCACTGGGCTTATGAGCCTTTGGAAGGTCTCTTAAAGTTTTTTGTGACTGGTCTCCAGTTCTTGGAACAGCTCATGCTCCACTTGCATCTCCGATTAGAAAGGTCACATGTTGGTTTAATGAGTTTTAGGTTTTTTTCTTTAGCACTTCCTTCTGATCACCTCTCTACACCTCTACCTTTCAATTTTGATTGCTGTGACAAAACACTATGTAGAAGGCAACTTAATGAAAGAAAGCATTTTGTCAGGTGTATGGTTTCAGAGTCCATAATGGCAGAGCAAAGAACAGCTGAGAGCTCATATCTTGATCCATAACCAGACAGCACCCTGGAAATGGAATCATCTGAAACCTCAAAAGCCTACTCCCAGTTGCATATCCCCAAGAAGGCCACACTCCTTCCCAAACTGTACCACCAGGTGGGGGATAGAGTATTCAAACATGAGCCTATGGAACCGGCTCTCACACCACTCCCTCCATCTACTAGGTCCTGTCTGTCCTCCATAGCTTACCTTCCTGGGCTGGCTTTCATTCTCAGCCTGATGACCCCACCCCTATGTCAGAGCCTGTAGGGTCACCTGGTGTCTTTTGATCAACCAGGTGTGCTGATCAAATGGACAAGTGTGTGGACTTGCTTTCCTGGCCAGAAGCCACTGTTAGATATTGGCTGTGGTGTAGGCCTCAGGGCCTTTCCATTTGTTCCCACCCTTGACCTTGGGCTCCCTGTAGAACCTGAGTCCTTCGGGAGCCTCACGCTGAGTCCTGCAGGTGCGTGGGGCACAGAGGAACATTCTAATTGGCCAGTCTCCAGCCTCGGGTGGGGCCTGGCCTGCAGCCTTCCCAGTGCTGTTAGCATGGCCCATGTGGCCTGTGGGCCTCCCTCCCTTGCAGACCTCTTGTTTGCTGCCTTGCTGCATCTCAGGAGGTGAGCCTTGAAGGCCTCCGTGGCTGGCATTCTCAGGGTTACGCAGGTTCACGTAAGCAAGCCTTAGGCAGCTTTGCTAGGCTGTGTCTCGTACGTTCCCTCTCCAGTTTCAGGGTGAGATCTCAGTTCTCTGACATTCTGAGAAAACTTTTCAGTTGTAAAATTTTCTGTGTAGGTTAGAGTGAGGCATTAGCCACATTGTCATCTTGCTCCTCCAGTCACTGACATGTCCTTTATCGTTAAACGTTGGGGTGCATTTTGAAGAGTAGGTGTTCCTACTCTGGACAACTCTTTTTGCCCAGTGTCCTCTGGTTGGCACTTGGCTCCTGTCTTGGCACTTTCGGTGTCTACGAATGTTATAGTTATAGTCAAGATTGTGTCTTAACATCACTTAAAAATCCTTGTTAATTAGTGTTTCATGAATTCATGTTTACTGTATAATTACAGGCAAGTTTACATCCATCATGTTTGTTTCCCGTTTGACCTTCCTGTTTAATGTTTCTTTCTCCCTTATCTGGATTTCGTTTCCTACCCTGTTGACATATTTCAGTTATTTTCTTCTGTCCCTGATTACCCTTGGGCCAGGACTCTTTCTTGACACAGTACACTATCCCTGGCCTTGACCTCCAGCTGTCTGAACTAGTTTGTCTTAACCCTGTGGCCTTGGTATTTAGCTAACATGGTCTTGCTGGTCAGCTACTTCCCCCCTCACTGTTCTCTTTGCTTTGGTGATCTTCAGCTTTGTACCCTCAGCTCCTGTCACCTGTGCCATGTTGGAAGAGATTTTTGTATTTTCCCTCTCTGTGTGTGCTAGCTCTACTGGGTTTGTATACCCAACTCTCCCCAGATGGAGCTATGGTGTGGTCCCACATGTGGAGAGTGAGCATGAGTTTAACTGTGCTCCTCACGTTGTTAGGAAGACCTTGAACACGTGTGCAAGCAGCCGTTAGCTATATTTCAGAGACGGTGGGGCCGGGACTGGCCTGACACCGCCGTGCTCTTTACAGCCTGCTCCAGGAAGCTGAGCCATTGCCGACCTAGCTGCGATTTCCTGCCCTGAGGCTCCACAAGCTTTACCACCAGGGAAACTTGGTGCACAGACCTGTGAGAACCGTGACACCTGCTGCTGGCTGGATTGGGAGGTCACAGAGAGCCGTGTGCACGCCTGCTGTGCTCTGGTGGCTTGTCACCCACAGAGAGCGGGGCTCACATCTGCCCGTACTGTTGCTGTCCTAACACAGTTGTGCTTTTCATTAAATCATGTACCAGAAAGCCCAGGCTCTGCCCGTCTCTGAGACTTGTGTGCAAAAGGAACTGGACGATGCACTGTGGGCCCCCTCAGTGCTTCGCCGTGCTCCAGGCAGTGACCGTGTAGACTGTGAAGCGCTGTGTAGACGCAGTGGCAGGCGGCTCTCCTCCCAACAAGCTGAGCCAGCACGTCGCCAGCAATACTTAACGTCCTGTGAGAGACCAGAGTCCGCCCTCCCTGTGGGAATATGGGCGACAACTCTGGTCCTGAGGTCTGGATCTCCTGTACCTCCCGTCCCAGGGCCTGCATGCCTACCTCATGCCTGTCTCTTAGGCCTCTCTGTATGCCAGGCCTGGAGAAAGCACTGCTGAGAACTGTTGAGGCTGGAACAGAATTCAAGATAACTGCTCATGAAGGTGAAGTGGCCCAGGGCCTCAAGCCAAGGCCTGTAACAGTATGAACTCACTCCGTTTACCACTCATAGAGCCGGACTTGACAGCACGCAGGCTGCTGTCTTTACTGGGAGTCACTTTCCAGAGCTGGGTAGGCAGGGCCCTGGCTCATACATCATGCCAATCTTGCACACCTCTCCTGAGCTCACCTGATGAGGCCATGTATGACAGGCATTGCTGTCAGGTCTGCTGTGAAAGAGCAGGCAACTTCTGGCAGCAGGACTAACTTTCTACGTGATTGATTTATTTTTATTACATGTAGTTACAGGCAGTTGTGAGCCGCCATGTGGGTGCTGGGAAATGAACCAGGTCCTCTGGAAGAGCAGCCAGCGCTCTGAGCTACCTGTCCCCTAGAATGAAATATTTTTAGTATTATTCGAAAGACACAATTCCAGGCATGACGTGGAGACCTACTAGTTTCCACCAGACCTGCTGATGACACTCCAGCAGAGCAGCGCCCCTCTCCGTGGGGTTTAGTGGTGAAGTAAAGGACTCTGCCCCTGGCCACCCTCACGTGCACATCCCACCCCTAGGCAGCTGTTCCCCTGGATGCCTGGTATGTACACGCCCTCTCCTGTAAGCTGCTTCTTGTCTGGTATGTGGTCACAGCAATAAGGAAGGCGGCTAGAAAACTTGGTTTCAAAAATAGAGAGACGCTTAGACTGAGTCAGTTCTAGAACCCAGAACTTTTTGCACTCTCCTACTTTTAAAAAGAAAACGTTTTTTTAAAAATGACCAGATTGTTGGTTAAAGTTACAAACACAGGAAATTTGCTTAAAGTGGTGCTTGGAAGATTGAAGCTCAGATGATGTTGCAGAAATGAAACGGTGCACGAAACACGAGGGTGGAAGTTGGAGGAAGTAGTGACTTACTCAAAGTTGTCTGTGAAGGGGAAGCAAGGCAGACAACAGGGCTCAGAGCCTGCAGGGGTGCTGCAGGGTAGACCCACCTGGGTGGCAGTCTCAGCTGAAGTGAACAAAGTCCTGGCCTTCCTGCAGGTGCAGTGACTTCAGGTTGTCTTCAAACTGCCCCCCTGTGAGGTCCTGAGGAGAAAGGACCAGCTTAGTCAGGCTTCCTCTGGCAGAGGCTCGGGTCGGGGCCGTGATGAGGCCCCTGAATCTGCCCGCTGGGCGGCTCACAGCAGACTGCTGCCCTGACGGGAAGAGGCCTGGAGGACAGCCCAGGCCAGGGAGGGCGGCGGCACTGCTGGCCACGGATGGGGGTGAGGGGGGCAGAGGGACCTTCCCCCCGGTGCTGGCCCTCTACAGAAGGCCGCTTAGCCACTCTCAGTGTTGCCTGGGTGGAGTCACCTTTCCTCCTGTTAGGGGACGCTGTGTACTCTGTGCTTCCCCATCTCTGCAGGCTATGCCAAGCGCCCACCCTCTGATTTCTCTCACCCATCATCCCCCAGTCCCCGAAGGAAGCAAGAACCATTATCTTGCTGAAGAACAGCCCACCTGTGGCAGATGAGGCAGTCTGGAAGGATGGAGGAGGGGCCATTCTGTTCCTCAAGTCAACACAAGAAGCCAGACTCTAGAGCCTTGACTCTACCTTGTCCCAACGCTACTAGTGCCTGGAAAAGCAGAAATGTCCATGGTGGCCACACTCACTGCCCTTCCTGTTTCCCTCTCACTTCCCTCTGTTCCCTTCCTCATATTTGGAGAAATGTCAGGTTTGGGCCAGGATAGCTCAGAGTCCGCCCCCCCCCCCCCCCCCAGGAGAATTGACTAACCCTAACCCTAACACTGTTGAACACAACAATGCTCAGACGCCCTGAGTGTTTAACATGTTCCTGAGAGAACGAAGGGCAGCCATGAAAAGGAGAGGGTGTTTGGAGGACACGACGCCAACGATGGTTAGCACCAGAGTTGTGCAGGACTCTGCACCCGTTTCCACAGATGAGTGGCACTCATGTACTCACTCCGTTTAACACTCATGGAGCCGGACTGGACAGCACGCAGGCTGCTGTCTTTACTGGGAGTCACGTTCCAGAATTCCCACAACTGCAGCAGGAACGTTCTCCAGAAGGGTCAGACACACACCCGTGTCCCACACAGGTGGCCTTTGGAGGTATCACAGCCTGACTTCCACTTCTGGGATAAACCAGAGGAATGGGAGCTCACGGCAGCATGAGGCAACTGAATGCTAGAGATGCCTCCAACAAGCCGGGTCCTGACACGCCAACAAGCTCCGAGTCTACAGCATGTACAATCATATGTGGGTGCTGAGAAACAGCAGATGCAAGAACAAAGAGTTGGAGTCCATTCACAAGTGGCCAGCGGACAGTCCTGTGTGTGCACAGTGCTGTGCTGATGTCGGGGTTTCGTGCCAGCCGGGGCCATCGTGCTGTGAGCTGCGTGGGTGCTCTTCTCTGCACCTGGGCACATGGCAGGGGGAGCACTTTGCCAACCTGAATGCACATCCTCTGCATTCCGGTAGATCTAAAACAGGTGGCGGCTAAGTGTGGCCTGGCGGCTAGTGCTTGCCACCTGTGTCGAGCCATTTTCCGTGTGTGTCATGGGCCACAGTACAGTTTATTTAAATAAGAAAATTCTGGAGTGGGGACCAGTAGCCCCTCTGGTGAGCCCTGGAGTGTGAGCAAGTTTGAGCAGGGAAGCAGAGAGAGAGCAGGGAGCATGGCCGTCACGGCCAGGGCGCTCCCTGCAAAGAGCGCCGGCTGCCTGATGTGTGAGGCCCAGTCAGATGTACAAAACAGAAAAATTGGGGCTCCTAGTTAATCTTTCCAACAAAATAGCTTCTCATTGTATCACAGATAAACTGAGAAGAGAAGTCTAGGTGTGGATGTGGGCAGGGCTGTGTAAAGCCTGACTGGCCACCTCAGAAGGGATCCAGCTTCCACAGAGAAAAGAGAAGTTATTCTAAGTGGCAAACATCTCATCAGTTTAGAAATTAAAACTCTGGAGCTAGAGATGGCTTCAGGAACGCACTAGCGGCGCAGCATGAGGACTTGCATTCGATCACCGTCACCGTAGGGGCTGGGTGTGGCGGCACACACCTGCAGTCCCAGGAAGGGCGTCAAGAGCGGAAGACGCCCGGGGGCGGGCGGGCGGGCGGGCTGGCCAGGTAGTCTTGCTGAATCAGGGAGTACCAGGTTCAGTGAGAGAACCTGTCTGATGATGGTGATGATGTAGAGAGCACTAGAAGACGGCTTCAACTTCCAACCTCCACCAGCACAAACATAGGCCACACACGTGCACACACACGAAAAGAACATTCAAAACACGCAGCACATCACAGGTAGGTCTGCCTGTCTTACTGTGTTGAAAAATGCTGCAGACTGCTAGCAGTGGGGACAGAGCTGAGGGGGCCTTCCACTCCCATCGTATCACCAGCTCAATGCTGTATGTCCCGACTGTTCCCAGGTTTGGCTGTTAGTCCTCTGCTACTGTGACATCACCCTATAGGAGACACAGACTGGCAGACACATCTCACTCTCTGGGGGCTAGTCCCCAGGCCTGACCCACCATAATCTGAAATGAACTGTCCCACACTGGAAACCATGGGTGGAAACACAGGCTGAAGTCTGACCTGTGTCCTCCACCGTCTCAACAGCATGGCCCACCACCTGCTCTCCGTTACCCAACAGCTGTGGGGTTCGCTGCCCCTGGAGGCCGAGCTGCCCTTTCTAAGGGCCCACCACACCAGTTGCTGGCAATAGGGTGACAACTCTCCTCGAGGCAGGCTGCTGACATTCAGGATGGCCATGCCCTCTCACCTGGTGGGTGGAAGGAGTGCTGACTGTCACTGATGGATTCAGAGGCCAATGGGGAGCAGATAAAGTTTGACATGAGTGGCTGAGGTACAGGCTCTGCTTCTCTCTGCCTCAGCCCGCAACTAGGAGCTTCTCAGTACAAAGACAGACCCATTTTACTACAATGAGGAAGAACTGGGACTGGAAATAGGAAATCCTGACCAGCAGGATTCCACAAGGTTGTAACAGGGAGCAAGTCACCTGGACAAGACACACTGGCCCAACACATACCCCTTCCAGATAGGCTGCAGTGTGAGGGATGCTCTGCTAACGAACATTAGTTACGCCCGGGGAAGAACTTCCTCTGCAGGACACTAACCTGTCATCGTAAATTCAGCTAATGTCAGCTGGGCGGTGGTGGCACACGCCTGTCATCCCAGCACTTGGGAGGCAGAGGCAGGTGGATCTCTGTAAGTTTGAGGCCAGACGGGTCTATAGAGCGAGTTCCAGAACAGCCAGAAATGTCTGGAACAGTGTCCAGAGCAGATGAAGAAAGGTTAGCCTTGGCTCTAGCAAGAAGTGTGCTGTCTTGTCATTTTCAGCCTGGCACAACTGTTGGAGATCCATTTCCTGGAAAGACTATGGGATTCTTTTAGCACTGACCACAGTAACCTGTTTCCACAGAAACAGGGTGCCTGGCACCTATGCCCATATGACCTAAAGCAGAGAAACCAGATGAACCAAAGGAGCGTCCTGTGGCCCCACTGGCCACCACCAAGCTGCTACTACATGTGCGCAAGGCTGCTCTTTTACTAACGTGAACCACAGCGTCTTGAACGTGGCTGCTGGGCTCAGAACCAGGGTTTTCAGTGTTTAGAGGAAGGAATGAGAACAGCTTTATATACGGGTGTAACTAGGTGTGCCCACCTCAGCCCCTCCCCACCCCACAGAGCAGCAGCTGCTTCTAACCTAAGACTGGATTTACAGTAAGGGTATGGAGGTAGTGAGCTGTGCCCCAATGCCCATGCTCAGGTCTCGTGCTTGCTTGTGAGCACACAGAGTGGGCAGGCGGATACCCAGGAGCCCTGCACCCATAGCCAACACTCACCAACTTCACACAGATGACAAAGGGCGGCCGGGCAGCTTGGAAATGCAGAATGGGGACTTTCGGCTTGGGTCTTTCCTACAGGGGAGGTGCCAGCCGTGAGTCACTGCAGCCTCACACGGAGCTCCCAAAGACCTGCCCTAGCCACAGCCTCTGCTCACCAGAACTGGTGATTAGGTAGCGGATGGGAGTCTTGGGCCAGTTGGGACAGGACAGATGGCTGTACCCACGTTCTGGAAGCCCCAGCCACCTGACAGCCACAGGGGGAACCAACTGTGGTAGGCCAACATCGAGACCCAGACTGAAGGAGTCTGTAGCCATTTCCCAAGGGCAGGGCCGTCGTAAGGGATCCCGGAGACTCTAGGGAGCTGAGGGTACATCTGTTGGGCAGAGCCCAAGGGAGTGTTAGGCAAAGCTGGCTGGCACGGAAGACCCTTTTTCTGCAACGTGCCTTAGTGCTCTGCACCACGGCTACACACCTGAGAGTCCTCATGGCAGTAGAAGCCCTTCCTGATCTTGTTCTCATCAACGTCACAGAAGGCCACCACCTGAGGACGCACATGAGCCGGCAGGTTAGATGGTGGCGGCTGTAAGGGAGTCAGGATCGTGGCCGGCAGGATGAGGAGGAAAGGCCCCTACCTTGCGCCGGCTGGCTGCGGTCAGGCTGCGGTATAACTTACGCCCCTGCTTGCCTGCATTCCAGATGGTGAAGGACTTCCAGTGAGGCAGGACTTGCTCCTCTAGGAAGTGGACGCGATGGGTCCAGATGGTCATTCTGTAGCCAAGCAGAGGGGAAAGCTAAAGCTGGCTAGATGCTGTGGCCTCCAGAGCACCTCACCCATTAGTCCTGGGGACAATGAGTGCCATACATGCACGCTCAGGGAGGCACCAAGTTCCAGTCACATGCAAGGGAGACCTAGCCCCGTTCGCACGCCTGCGGCCTCAGCGAGAGGCCACCATGCAAGCCAATGCCCTTTGGGAAGCTTTGGCTTCTCATGTTGGCCCTGCTTTCTAGGTGGGACCCTGAGGACTGTAGACCGGATGGAGAGGACCTCTCCGTACTGCCAGACCCAGCACACATGTGGCTCCGGTATTCAGCAGGTGTGTATACACCTGTGCGCACACACACGGTTCATGCAAAAGCCAATGGTTGGCACCAGGTATTTTTATCATTCTTCACCTTGTTTTTTTTTTTTAGATAGGGCTGAACCTGGAGCTCAGCAATTCAGTAAGACTAGCTAGCCACCAGGCTCCAGGAATCCGCTCTCCTCCCTGGCACTGGGATCACAGGTGCGTGTTGCTGGGGATTGAACTTGGGTCTTCGTGTTCCTGCAGCAAGCACTTTACTGATAGAGCCATCTCCCCAGGCCCAAAGTTTTAGCTGTGAACTAATTCCTTGAGCTAGAAAGTATGAAGGGAGATGTAGCAGACCCAGCAACCCAGATTAGTCAATACTCACAAAAAAGTCTGGGTAAAAAGTCGCGTTCACACCAGGAAGTAAACTTTCTGCCTCGGCGGACACAGACTGACCTGCTCCCCGGCAGCCCGCCCCTGCATGCAGATCTCCAGAGCTGGTTCCTTCTCAGCCCCCCTAAGCTCCACTCACCTGCTGCCCCTCATCTTAGGGCCAAGCAACCCCGTCTCTGCCCAGGCCCCAGCACCCTGGTCCTCTGCGTGGAGCCGCCCTTGGATTTAGGGCTGCGCCTCACGTGTCACAGCCTACGTCAGAGCACGTTCTGCCTGTTCGGCATTTTCCTTAGATCTCCCAAGTGAAACTTTCTAATTAGGCTGTGCTGAGCTCAGTGATTCTGGTAGGGATCCCTCGGGGTGCCAGGGAGCCACATCCATGACCCCAGCCAGTGCTGTCTGTGGCTGCAGTGACCTTCCCGAGGCCACAAACAGGATGCTTCAGCTCCACACAGGATACCTTGTTACAGCCAAACTATCACCCGAGGAAATGAAGACCTCAGAGTGAGCCTCGATTTCACAACAAAGGGCCGTGTGCAAGGGGCACACACGTCACAAGTCTCACAAGCCAAGAAAGGGCCTCTGATTGCTACCCCTCAGGAAACTTCAGTGTGATGGCCCCAGAGCTTTAGTATGGGAACAGGAGGCAACAAGATAGAGTCAAAGGCAAAAAGCAACACTTGCCTGTTGGGGCATCCAAGCAGCAGAGGGGGTCACACGTATCTGCCTAAGTGTGGATGAGGGGACTCCAGGCACAGGCTGCTCAGACCCTGTGGTATGCCAGCAGGCCAACCTCCAGCCCCATCCTGACCACAAATGTCCCCGTCCCTTCTGCCTTTAGCAAGGGCCCTTGCAAGAGACCTGCTTGGATACAGCCCCCTAGTAGGGTTCATGGCTACAGATAGAGATGGGGCAGGGTTCCTCTGTCATCTCTTCAAGGAATACCCCGTCGAGAGGGCTGCTTGTCCTCATCTGACCTTTAGAGGACTACCTGAGAGCTGGGTCCCGCAGCCTTGGTTACTACCACAGATCTGTTCTGTTCGGTGCCTGAGCAAGACACGGGGTACTGTATGCGTAAGTGTGATCAGATCCGTGTCCGTATGCACAGGGCACCTTTGTGGAGCGAGAGCACACGTGCAGCGAGTGCTCTGTGTGTGTGTGTGTGTGTGTGTGGCACGCACACAGGGAACAGGTGTGCAGCAACAGCCCTGTTGGAGACTAGGTGTAGGTGACACACTGGTGATGTCCCGCCCACACTGACTGGGTCCACAGGGTCTCTCTGTTGGAGAAGAACCTTCGTGATCCTGCATGCTCAATCTGAAGTTTATTTGCAGGATGGTGGGTTAACTGTACTGTGAGGGCACCCGGTTCCCCAGACACTGAGCACCAATGCTTTTCTGCAGGAATTACATGTCCACCAGGCCTGGCTTCTGAGTCTGTTAGCTTGCTAACAGAGAACAGGCAATTATAAAGGCGTGCTGCAGACTCTCGGCGCACCATGCATTGGCCCTGCTTCTGGGGGTCTGCCGAGCGGGCAGGCCACCTGGTGCCCAGCACATCCGTCTCTTCATGCCGAGGAACCATCCGCATAGGGGCAATAGCTAAGGGAACTATGTGCCCGAGCTGCTGGGACTTTCTGGGAAAAGGCTGAAATATTACAGACTTAACACTGAACTAGCACAAAGGTGATTGAGGGCCCTTTCTACCCACCAGCCACCACTTACCCTCAGTCACCTTCGTGCTAATCCAGCTAGTACAGACTAGAGAGTACCGGCAACCTGCGTGCCAGAAGAGGCCAAACATATGTCTGTAAGGTGACACAGCAGTAAAGCACAAAGAGGAGGAAGTGACAGCAAACTAGGCTGAGCTGCTCACAAGTTTAAGGGAGGTTTGATCTCATGGAGAGGGCATTCTCAGGTCCTTTGGTATCTGGTATTCCACATACAAAGAGAAAGGATGCAAACTTAGCTCATTTTGAGCTTGAAATAAAAATGAGACTCAAAGCATTGCCACCTGAAGTCGGGGCAAATGCAACGCTTGAGCCTCAGGTTGTAATTACAGCTCACAGCTTAAAGACTTTAATCCAACACAGAAACTCACGTTAGATCACTTATTTTTGTGCTGTGGGTGGCAAAGTTTACTGTGCAAACACGAAGGCTCAAGTACTGCACACACAGCCACAAGCCTGCTGGGTGGGCTGCAGGTCGCCACCCAGGTGGCTCCAGCTTCACGGACGACATGGGAGGGGCCTCCCACACAAATGACCACATGATCTCACGCTCACGTGGCCTGCAGAATAATGTGACACGAATGTACAGTGGTTCAGCCAGCCCGTAGAGCCACCAGCAGGTACCAGCAGAAGCACCGCAGTGTGGTGCCCAGACAGCTGCCACGGTGCTTTTCACTCAGTTGGCCCTCTGTCAGAGGACACTGGGAAACAGTGCTGTGTGTTGAAGATACAGGGTGATGTAACCTGGCCTGGCTTTCACAGCAGCCCCTGCTCTTGCTGTGGGTCTGTTTCACGTGCTGCCCCTACCTTGAGGTTTGATCAACTAGTGAGAAGCACAGCCTACCACTCATTCTCTTCTACAGCTGATGCCAGGACCCAGTCGTTCCAAAGCACTGAGCTGGTTTCCCTCCCAAAGCCCACAGCTTCCTCCTCTACTTCCTAAAATGATCTTGATAAGACTGGCACAGCATCTTCCTTGACCATGTCATCAGACACCTCAGGAAAATCCCCTGGCCTGGCTTTCCTTTGTGAATGTTCTCAAATTACTAAATTAAAATTTACGTTTCCCCTGCGTATCCTGCAGGCAGGGTATGTTCTGGGTAGAGGTTTCTGTTGATGCTCCCCTCTCCACCAGAAGTCCTGTCTGGTTAGAGGCTGGCCTCCCCAGTCTCCATGACCCCCACTACCAGGGGTTCCAGCTAGAATCACCCCCACATCCTCCCAGGAGCCCACTCTTCAGGTCTCGGGCTTGTCTAAGAGATGCCCCCACCCATGGTTACCCCTCTCTCTGCAAGCCCTCTGTCCTCTCGCCTGCTCACCCTACATCTGATCCCCATCCCTTCCCTCAGCTCCCACTCCTATCCTGCTCCCTCTCTCCAACCACTTCTGTTGAGTATTCTAGCTCCCCTTCTGAGTGAGACTCCTGCATCTTCCCTTGGGCCCTCCTTGTCTCTTGGCATCTTTGGATCTGTGGATTATAGCATGGATGTCCTGTACTATATGGCTATCATCCACTTATAAGTGAGTATATACCATGTGTGTCTTTCTGAGTCTGGGTTACCTCACTCAGGATGGTCTTTTCTAGTTCCTTCCATTTGCCTGCAAATTTCATGCTGTCCTTGTTTTTAATAGCTGAGTAGTATTCCATCCACCGTATAAATTTATCCACAATTTCTATCCATTCTTTGGTTGAGGGACATCTGGGTTGTTTCCAGTTTCTGGCTATTATGACTAGAGATGCTATGAACATAATTGAGCAAATGTCCTTGTTGTGTGGTGGGGCATCTCTTGGGTATATGCCCAGGAGTGGTAAAGCTGGCAGAGATGGAGGGAGTGTGCAACCAATGCCTGGCCTATCCTGAGACTCACTCCACAGGAAAGAGCCAACTCGACACAATGGATTGCACAGCTGTCCTCTGAGAGGCTCTGCCCAGCATGGGATCGAAACAGAAACTGAGACTCACAGCCAACACTGGGCAGAGCCTAGGGAGCCCTGTAGGAGTGTGTGTGGGGGAGAGGATAGAACCACCCAAAGGGGACAGGAGCTCCACAAGACCAATAGTCCCCACTAACCTGGGCCCAGAGGGCCTTGCGGAGACGGAAGCACCAACCAGGCACCATGCATGCCCTAGACCTAGGCTCTACACACATATCCCCAATGGGCAGCTTAGCCTCCCTGTGGGTCCCCCGGAAAGGGGATCAGGAGCGGTCTCTGACAAGCTCTCTGTTGCGTGCTTTTCAATCACTTTCCCCTGGAGAGGCTGCCTTGCCAGGACACTGAAAGAGGAAGTACACAAGGCACTGATAAGAAGGGTGTGCTGGGGTGGGTTTTCGGGGTGAGGGTGGGGTGGGGTGTGTCACTCCTTTTCTGAGGGGCAGAGGTTAGGGTAAAGTGGGAGGGATGGAGGGGAGGAGTCAGGAAGAGAGGAGGGAGGGGGCTATGATTGAGTTTTTAAGATTTACTTTTTGGTTAAATATTTGTGGGGTTGCTAGTATTGCTAATTCTCTATTTTATTTTGACATCAATCTTGCTAGTTTTCCAGTTTCTGTTTTCCTTTTCCATCCTTGGCCTCTCCTCCTTTATCTGGGGTCTATTTTGCTGTTGTTTTACTGACTCCTGCTGAAGGCTGTAGACTATACATTTTTTCCTAATTTCCTTTGTGATTTTTCCTTTGGCTACTTAATTTTCAAATGTTAGATTTTTCAAGATACTGTAATGCTTTCTAACTTACTGCTTTGGTTGCTAAAGGTAAAATGTTTCAGTTATACCATTCCCTCTGTTGAAATCCTAGCCCCAGAGATATGAGGATGTGAGGTCTTGACTTCCCAGAGAGTATGCCGCCTCCCCTGGGATGTGAGAGCACAGCAGAAAGATACCACTTGGGAACAACTTACAGACTCTGAGAAACAAGTACACGCATTCAAATGCTGCTATCCATCCTCGCACGTTGTCATAGGAAACTGGGCAGTTAAGATGTTCCTGACACATCCTGTCATCCTGTGCAACTTTAGCCATTTAAAATCTGTTAAGACTCAGATTCCATGCTGAGTACAGAACTCCAGAATGTCAACTGAGTCTTGCTAGTCTGCAGGATTGCTGGTCTCTTCTCAATAATTACGTGTTTCGTATGTGTTTGTTAAGTGGCAGAAAAGACGGATTAAATCTGCACTACCCTGTGCACTTGTCTGCGGCTTCACTGTGTGTTTTGAGATTCTCCCAGGTCGCAGGACTGTCCTCTGAGCATGTTTCCTGTGAGTTGGTCCCACCAGTGCCTCCTGACAGCAACCCCTGCAAGATGCTCCTCTAATGCTGTGGCGAAGTTCAGATACAAAGAGGGCAGGTTCTGTTGTACATGAGCTGAATCTGGTAAATGGTACAGGCCCAAAGTCCAGGGACCTCAGAGTCAGTGGGATGCTGGAAGCTGAAGCCTGGGTAGTACATAGAAGATGCTCAGGAGGGAATTCCCCCCCCCCCCCAGACAGCTCCACCCAGGTCAAGAGCATAACCACTACCACCCTACAGCTGAAAGTTCATAACTATAAACCTATGTCTTCAGAGGCCACTTTCCCCAGTGCCCATGGGCTATACAGAGGGGACCGTCTTATAGCAGAAACACAACTCCCTAGTGACACAAGTGTCTCATACACAGTGCAGACTGAAGAATTAACAAGCTCACTTTTTTCCCCCTTCCACATCTTTCATCAGTGGGCTTGGAGGGCCAAGGACAGCCAAAGAAAAGTGAAAGGAGATAATTAGCTATGGAGACATAGCTCAGCTACCCGCTGTGACAACTCCTTCCACCACGGGGCTTGCTAGCTTGTCAGACCTCTTCTCGGGTCTCATAGTGAGCCATGCTAGGTTTAAGCAAATGAGAATGAAGTTGAGAACAAGCCTTCATCTCACACAACTAGGGAAACTGATGTTTGGCTTTGCATGGATATTCCCTGACCTCTGTGGAACAGGATACCCAGCAGCCCTGAATGACCCCCTACAAGGAGACACAGTATACTCTGACCCCACCCTAACCTCCTTGGTGGCATGCCCTGTAACCCACCATTATGAGCTTCATGGAAGAGCCCTGTCTCCACCCACCCTGGGCCCAGTCACATCAGTGGCCCACAAGTGGTCTGGCTATCCCAGCACCTCACCTGTTTGTGGACCGTCCAGGCATTCCCAGAACTTAGTATGTCCTACTTACTCCAGGACTGAGTGTGTAGCTGCACACAGGTGGTATCGGTAGAGAAGCAGGTGCTGGTCCACCCGGAAGACGCCGCCCCCTTTCCTGAGGTGCTCATAAAAGAATAGAAGATCCTCTGGAACCCCCTGCAGATGCAAGAGGACAGCGCTCATCTCTCTGGGCACCGACTCCGCCGTGACAGGGTGTTCTGTTGAGAGCCAAGCATGGTGGCACTTGTCGCCCCAGCTATCTGGGAGGCAGAGCTCATAGGATGGCTTGAACCTGGACACTAGTGCTCAACCTGGACGGCACAGCAGGTGTTGCCCCGGTAAAAGAAAAGAATCTGCTCTGACACTCAGGGGTGGGGTGGGGTGGGTGGGTCACATGCCTGGAATGGAGATTAGCAACTTGTTTTTCTCAGCAGTTAAGACAGACGGGAGGGCGCAGCAGGTAAGCTGGATGTGAGTCTCAGGTCCCTATTCTGCCTTAAATTCTACTCTGTGGGTCAGCAAAGGTCTACGGGTTAACTATCAACAGAAACACCGTGATAATCAGTGGGCAGAGCGGCCTCTCAGCTGCATGGCCTTGAGACTGGAAAGCCCGGTAATGTGCAGAAGAGGGGAGAGCAAGCTGGCTTCCTAAGAGGCCTTCAGGGAGACACTGAACAGGCCAGAGGTTGGGTGGAAGCAAGGAAGGCTGAGATCCAAGGGAGTAAAGCTACCACCCACAGGGTCGTCTGTTACAAGGCTGTACTTGATCACCATGGGCAGAAGGGGGCAGTGTTGAGCCAAGAACTAGGCAATGAGCAGGAGTGCCGGGTGGAGGCTGAAGTCATTTCCTGAACCCTAGCCTGCAGGCGCCCCTCCCCTAACTCAGGGGACTCCACAGAGAGCCCAAATTCTACTGGGTGGCGCTTACCTGTCCTCCTTCATCAAATGGGCCCACGTGGGAAAACCAGGCTCGAGAGCAGAACCAGGTAGGCATGATCACTGTGGGGCCGTGGGAGGTGAACACCTGAGAGCAATTCGCGACAATGATAACAGAAAAGAACAGCTCGTTAGAGACAGCCTAGTCTCATGTCTCATCAAAGTGACCAAAAACTCATGCCCCTGCTTTGGGGGAACAAGCAGTCAGAGCACTCCACAGCGACCAGCCCATAAAAGGAACAGGTGGAAATTGACGGAGGCCACTTCCAGGTCCCCACTCTTCAGCTGTTGCTAAGCATGCGAGGGGCCTCTGCTTATGCAGGACAGTGACGCTGTGCGTGAACTGACAGCGTGCACCTGCGTGATTCACATGAGAGGATGCCAGCGACTAGATAATGAGGCTTCCTAGAATGGCATAAATATCAGAAGTGACTCAAGACAGAAAATCTGAGTAATTTCTAACGAGCCTGAAACTTGAGCTTTCCCACAAAGAAAATTCCAGCCAGGTGGGGCTCTGGCAAACACTGCCAAATGCTCACGGAACCAAACCCCTCTTTACAAGCACGTCTAGTGACAGTTGAGCAGAGAAGCCTTTCTAAACCACTGGGTACCAAAGCCAGGGGAGGACAGCTCATGTGTTCCTCACCAATAGAGCCAACCAAATGCCAGCGAACTCAGTCCATCTGCCACAGAGGAGGGCAATACCACGTCAGGATAAACACACCACAAAGACTGAGGACCAAAACCCAAATGTGTTGAAGCATTGGGGAACCCGGTGCTGTCAAGAGGATCCGCTGAGATAACATGACCCGGCCCGGGGCGGCACAGTTAGTAAGTCTCGCCTCCACTACTCGCACCTTCAGGGTCTGCCATGCGCTGGGACACACCGTGCTTTCCCGTACACTGCTCCGCTTCCTCAGGAGCCACCGCCTAGGCGCGGTGTCCCTGGGACACCCTCCCTAGAGCTTTCCGTTGCTGCACCTGTCACACTGGCCTGCAATTACCTGCTTATGATTCGCCTCAGCACTGGCTGGACCTTCCTGCAGGCAGAGACGTGTCTGGTTGATTTCTGAGTCTCAGTACCCAGCGTGCCCCTCCTGGCATAGCAAGATTTCATTCAAGAAGCTTGTATTACTTTGACTATACATGGTCTGGGCCCAGCGGCAGCTGATCCCAGGACAAAAGTCTGTATGAGAAAGGGCAGAAGAGTAGCTAGATCTTGTTGGCTGTAGCAGCGAGCACCTGCAAGCATTTGTGAGGCTCAATGGCATATCGGCACACACACGAATCAATAATAAAAAGAAAAACGTTTAAACTGGGCTCAGTGGGTAAAAGTCCTTGCTCCCAAGCCTGAGGGATTGAGTCCAATCTCTGGGAACTGGTGTGGTAGGAGAAAAGTCTCTCCCAAGCTGTCCTTTGACCTCTGCATGTGGGTAACAGCAGGAGCATGCTCACACACAGAATCAAGCAACCAAATCAATGTTTAAGCAACTTTAAAACCTGTAATCTCAGCACTCAGGAGGCTGGGGCTGGAAAATTAGGAGTTTAAGGCCAACCTGGGCTACATGACACTATCTAAAAAAAAAAGTCAGCTCTCAAAGGAGACAGCAGGGAGGGGATGGAGCATCTCTCAAACATGTCTGCCTTGGAAGGGGAAAAAGGGATACACAGCCCTAACTCTTGTGTCACCTGCTTCAAACACGCTGCCCTGCTTAGTAGCCCCCTTTCTCTGCTACCTCCTGGGACAGTAGCCAGTGTCTAGGAATGTCTTTGGCATGGTGACCACCTCACCACCACAACACTCAAATCTCTATAGTGGCTGTGTCCACTATAGAGGTGGAGGAGGTCAGTGGTGGAGGTCAGCTACGTGGCTAGGTTCCAGTCTGTGGTGGCTGAGCAGGCCTGGTATCAGTGTTGACCAGCTGTCTTAGTTAGGGTTTCTATTGCTGTGAAGAAACACCATGACCACGGCGGTTCTTAGAAATGAGCTGGCTTACAGTTTCAGAGCTTTAGTCCATTACTGTCCTGGCAGGCATCACCCAGTGTACAGGCAGAAATGCTGGACAATGCTGAGACTCCTCCATCCTGCTTGGCAGAGAGCAGGAAGACTGGGAGCCACCAGGCCTGATTTTGAGCTTCTGAGACCTCAAAGCCCACTCCCTAGCCCTCTCCAGCAACACCCTCACCCTAGCCCTGACCCTAACCCTATGGACCTATGGGGTCATTTTCATTCAAACCATTGTAACCACACCCCGGGTACAGAGACCCCTGCTGGTCTACTTCCCACCTCTCTGAAGGCTTTTTCAGTCCCTGCTGGAGGACAGCCTCCCAGCTTCTGTTCCAAAGAAATGGCTGTCCAAAAAAAAATGAGGTGTGTTATCTTTTCTCTCCTTTTTTTTTGGGGGGGGGACACAAAGATGTCGATTTCTTTCTATATGTCCCCAAAAGGATGTCAGCAGGCTGCTTCAGTGGGGAACCAGGGGCAGATTGCTCAGTGGAGGAGGTGCAGGCGACCAGCATCTGGGGAGCTAGGATCCCTCCCTGCTAAGTTTCTATGTCCACCTCAGCAAAGGCAAGTTCAGGCCGTTGTTAGAACTCTCCTAAGTTGAACGCCGCCCCCACGGGGAGTGGGGAGGTGCTGAACTCCTGACCAAACCCTGAACAGCCCTGCCTGACTCCCTGTCCCACTGGCCCCTGAGGAGAGACTCCTCCCCGTGGCACAAGGGCCCACTCTCAGGGCCATTATCAAGTCATTCACCATCACTGCCCAGCCAGGCTCCTGCAGCTGGGATCCTTGGGTCTCAGATTGAATGTAGGTGTCCAAAGAGACAGAACCAGAGGTTTCCAAAGCTGAAGCCCCACAGGAGAGGCCTTAGAGCCTTGAGTGCTACTCTCTGGAGCTCCTGATGAGGTCTGTGACCCAGGGGAAAGTGGCTTTCATATCTAAAATGGGAATACTAGCCAAAGATGGTACACACCTTTAACCCCAGCCTTCAGGAGACAGAGGCATCCCTTCGCTTTCTCTTGCTTTATTGCTCATTGGACTTCCAAGCACTACACTGAAGAAAGAGCAGAGTGGACACCTTGGTCTCACTGTTGATTTCAGAAGAAATGCTTTCCCTCTCAGTCTGATACTACCTCTTGCTAGAGTATGGCACACCACCTTTCCTACGCTGAGATTTGTTCCTTCTCTTACTGGTTTCTTTGTGGCTCTTTTCTTGAAGGGATGGTGAACTTGGTCCAGGCTGAGTAAGGCTGAGCACAGCACACCAGTCTGTAAAATTATGCAGTTACATCCCTGACCACACAGAAATGTAGGCATATAACACACATACTGCCAAAGACACACGTACACATGCACAAAATGACTGGCTGCCGGGTGTTGGACTTGGCCATACAGGACAAGCCACGTCACAGCAATCAGTAGGGTTCTGGAGACCTACCTAGCCTGCGTAAGAGGGCAGCTCCAGTGACTCTGGCCCTTCAGTCAGGTGCTAAACTCAGAATTTTGTTTTTGCCTGGAATTTTTTTAAGTTTGGTTTCTGACAAAACAGTACTTTCAAGGCTTCAAATGCTTTAGAAACCTGCTGGTTATTGGTTCTATTATCTTGTAAACTGCTGTTTATTCTGGGACTAATTCTATGTTTTCACCTGTCATGGTATAAAATGTAATATGGTTAGTGGGCAAGTGAGCTGGGTCCCCAAATAGGGCTGCAACTGGGCAGCAGGTGATTCACTCTGAGCACACATATCTGAGGACCCTGCAGGATATAAAACAGCCTGACCATTTGCGCTTACCACTACAGCAGTCCACAAGAGCAAGAAAGCCGGAGAGGACCAGAGGCCTTGACCAACTCATCACTGACTCAGGACATGGTTTCCCTCAGGAGACAGGAGATGTTAGGCCTGTGACTCATTACAAGCAGCCCAAAGTTGCCCTAGACAAAACCAACCTTTGGCAGTTTCAGAGAGCTATAGATCCAAGGCATAAAACTAGTCACTCCTGCTGGCGAGCAAGAGATGGGTGTCGGGCACCTGGTCACTTCAGAACCTCATTTCTCTCTCTGCTACCTTGGGGGCACAGAGAGGGTCATGGGTGCAGGCTTCCTGGTACCCCCAGGAAGAGGGCTCTCCACTTTACCCGGTCGGCATCAAGGTACCTGGCCTGGGCACTTGAGCTCACTGCAACAGGGCTTCTTCCTCACAGGGAGATGAGGAGAAAGACAGACACCCTGCTGGGCACAACAGAGTTGTGGTGCCTTCCTCTGGGTCCTGAAACACTTGGACCAGCTCCGTGGACCACAGGTATCGCAATAACCAGGAAAGGACTCCCACATTCCCAAGCACAGGTGGAGCTTTAGGAGATGGGATCAGAAAGTTTGTAACATACATGCATGTACATGTATACTTGCATGCACAAACACACTCACACAGAGCCATCTACAGAGCTATAAAAAGAAACTCTAATGTGAAATTAAGATTTTATGGTGTTTAGATTTAGTAAGACTCCGACACTAATAAAAACTTCCCTTCTCCATTACACACTGCAGAGCAAGTTCTGAATACTCATCGGCTAATCTAGGAGATTGTAGTGTGCTTGGCTGGTTCCTCCCATGTTTTATGACACTCCCCTGTAAGCGAGAACGACCAGCACAGCCACTACTTCAGCACACGCACTGTCGAAAGCCTCACGAATGCTGCTGTACTGCAGTTAGGTAGAAACCACTGGGCTATGCCGAAGTACATCCACACGGCAGGCCAGCTCTTACTGTCGCACTACCATCAAGAAGCTTCAAATGAAAACAGTGCACAAGTCTCAGCCTCTGGCAGGTCAAGAGGCCCTAATGGCCTCTCATGTCTACAGACAATAGGGTCCCTGGGTCACCAGACCCCACAACACGGGGACCACACCCAATGCCTTCTAAATCAGCAGCCAATTTTTATTAATTTTGTTAAAGATCTTCAAATGAGTAGATTACAGAGTGGTCAGTCATGAAGAGACCTAGGCCTAGTAGTGAAACCCTCAAATTTACAAACAATAAAACTGAGCCTTAGGAAGCTTAAGGTGTCCCTGACCCTTGACTCAGGGTACAGGAATCTCTGAATCCTGACTTTCTAACAGGGATGTCCTTCATCTCTGGCCTCACAGAAGGGACAGCCCAAGCTGCTACCAAGGCTGAGTGCATGCAGGGCGACACCCATCAAGACCACTGTCTATGCCTGGTAGTGTGCTTAACACCGTGGCCCTAGAATGCACTTTTATCTTCCCTTCTAGACTTTAACCAGATCCTGACAGTGAGCAGGATGGCCTATTAGCTCAAAGCAATGACAAGAGTCCTTGGGAAGCCCAGGGCCAGTGTCCACAAGATGCCCAGCTGAAGCAGACGCTCAGTGGAAAGGGCCAGTCAACAGAACAGACCCTGCTCCAGCTGGCTAGGAGTGGAGCATTGTGAAAGAGAGGGCTAGAACCGCAGTGGCAGGTCTGGAAGGAGGTAGAAGCTGCTGGCTAACTATGTCAACGTTCCGAAAGGCTGTTGAAACGGAGAAGTGATCCCCATGGTGGAAAGGCTAACCACAAGCCAACACTGCTTTACTGAAAGCTGAGCCTCATGGGCATTCAGAAAGATTTTCTATGAGAGCTGGAGACTCAGGCTCTGCCAGCAAAGACAAGAAAAGAGGACCGGAGACTGTACTAGGACCGTCTGAACCCCAGGTAGAAAAGGGTACACACCGCATAATCGTGAGAACTGCATACACATTACAGCACTTGAATCCTTAAACAACGTAGACCTTCGTGCTACATAACACAAGAGCAGGTGAGGCCTGGGCACAGTGTCTCAGTAGCACGCAGTGTGCTGAGGAAGCCTGGGGCCGTCCATGATATGACCTTGTTCTCTGTAATCTGTAAAGTTTCTCAAACTTAGAAAAAAAAAGTTTACAGAAGTCATGCTCTGTCATGCTCTGTAAACAGGAGAGATAAACAAAAGGGTCTGTAACGGTCTGCCTAGCCATCCCCCTGGCACCTCCTAATACTACAGTTATCCCAGTAATTAAGAGTTTGGAAGAAAGGCAGGCCCTGCGGAACAGGCAAGGGGCATATAAGAAACCATGGTAGACAGTCGGACCCTCCCTTTTCTAGGACTGACTCTGCATCTGGGAGGATGTTACTAAGCAGGGAAGCAGTAAGCAGCAGTCCCCAGCAGGCACCACTTACGCCATACTCGTGTGAGGCATTTACTGTTGAAGCCCCTGAGCCCAGTTTTGGAGTTGCATGTGGCCAAAGACAGAGTCCTGACGTGTTGCCACACCCTGAGGCTCTTGCTATCTAAGCCACCTCAAGGCCCTGACCATTTGGGACCCTATGAGGTAGACAGGCACCTACACCACACTCCTGCAAACCATGCCCAAAGCTTGGTCTCCCTCCCATAATCTTGGAAGTGCCAGGGAGGCCCAGCACAAATAACCTGGACTCTCAGAAAATAGCAGGTGGCCCCAGTACTCCTCCACTGCCAGAGAGGTCTCCAAGCAGGCCTGTCCATTCGTGGTTGGCCTCAGGAAGCACTAAGACAAGTGTTGGCTTCTGAAGGCTTCTGGGAAGTACCCAGACCGCCCCAGTTCTCCTTGGCACTGGGCAGACCCCTCTGCACAGGTCAGCCCCAAAGTCACCACAGTCCTCATTGACAAAAGAGAGCACGGGCTCCACGTCCCGGCACCTCTGAGCTGCTGTCTTTCCATTTACAGGCCTCTGGCTTAAAAAAAAAAAAAACTTTTCCTAGTATTCAAAGTTCCTTATTTTTTAACAGCTAAGGTTATTCTTATATTAATTTTTTTAGTTACTGTACAAAATAACTATTTTATAATAGTATTTTCCCACATGTACCCCATTATTTTCTCTAGGCTTTCCTCTATCCCAATTTATTTACATAATATCTACGCCTATTTAAAATAAAATAATATCATGCCTGCAAATTCTGTACTCAGGAGACTATACAAGAGGATTTTGAGTCAGAGGCTAGCCTGGGCTACATAGTAAGACCTTCTCTCAAAATAATAAAATAATAATAATAATAATAATAATAAAGTTTTCAAAATAAAACTTAACAAAATTAAAACCAAGTTTTCCATATACACAAAACTTAACCCCATAGGGGCAGATTCTGAATTCAAAATGGGAGTTCACTATGGAGAATGGAAGTTTCTCACAGAAGACACAACAGTGACCCATGTCCGCAGCCACTCTGATGTACTGCACAATGGTCCCCTAGTAAGGCTGTCCTTCCACCTCCCACAGGCACAGCTCCACCAAAATCACAGACAGCCCAATGTCTGACTGCACATGCTCAAGAATTCACTAAGAGTAACTCTTTCCTTCAAGCCTGCATGCAGTTGGTGACAAGAATATGAAGCCAGGGCTGTGTGGCAGATGCTGGGCCTTGACTTGTACAGGAAGGATTTTTCCAACCAAGTGACAAGTCAGCCCCCTCCTTGCCTGAGGGGATGGTCGGGGATTGTACAGAGGAGCTATAATCATTGACTCATGGTGCCCACAAGTCCTCATTCAGCAGAGTTGGTGAGACCCAGGTCAGTGGCCATTAGGGGGGCCTGTCTGGTCTCACACTGGTCCACCAGTGTTACAGCTGTCCTATCTCCTTCTGTATGCACTCTTCACCCAGAGCCACAGGCACCCTTGGTCTGCTGTCATGGCCACTGTCTGGCCACTGCGGCTGACAGTGCTATGCAGATCCCTGGGGCACACTGCATAGAGACTGCTGCTCTTTGGATTCTGAGCAACACCTGAGGTAGTGTCCTACACTGACCTAACCCTTAGCACTCCAAACAACATGGCTGCGCCCCAACTAGACATGGAGATGAGTGAAGATACAAAGAGCACACCCTGACAGGTGTCAAGAAGCTGGACGTGGTCCTAGGGGACGCCAACCTGAAGCATGTGAGCTCATACAACCAGAGAGTGTCACCTGTGTAAGCAGCTGATCGGAAGTCAACTGGTTGATCCAACGTGTGTATCGCTCTGTGGAGTCTGGCGGGTCCCTCCTCACTTGACATCCTATAATCTGTGGGGGAAAAAAACAAATATATTTTAAGGTTTTGTAAGTATGTATGAAATCCATGGACTGGGGGCTGATTTAAGCCAAAACCCCTGGCATCAAGGGCAAGAGAAACGAGGATGCCAGGCCCACAGCCCCAGTCCTAAGGAATGTCTTAAGAGTAAACAATACTAGCCTCAGCTGGACTTACACATGACAAACAGAGCTTTCCTGCTTTGATGCAGTCAGATTAAGATGACCCAAACATAAGCTCCCAATGCCTGACTGTTTTTATAAGCTCCCTCTGTGAAGGGCTGATAACTGAGGAGTTAGCACAGTCACTGGGCCCCGTTCTGGGCTCCACCTTGGGAGGCAGCACCACAAAGATGCGTTGGAATTACAAGCCCGTGTCCTCCAAAGTGTCTTTCTGTCCAGAGTTTTCTCTTTACCAGATGGCGCCTTGATTCCCATACTTCCTTTCCAAGGAAAAGATGGTATTGTGTGGTGGTCTGAGTAAGAAAGGCCCCATAGGCTCACAGCTTTGAATGCTTGGCCATCACATACAGGTTGCAAATATTAGAGCCCCAGCGAAGGACTGCAGCACAGTCTGACGTCAGAAACTGACAGTGGAGCAAAGGTCTTACCTTATTACCACCTCAGAACCTGTCCCTACCCCAGAACGTGCCCACTTCAGAACACATTCATCAACGTTCCTACAATTACTTCTTCATTTCAGGCAAAAAGCACCTTGTGTAGATCTTGGAGGTTGTGTTCAGATACCATTTCACAGTAGAGGACTGGTGGTTCTGGATGTGTGGGTGGGGGCGTTACGACAAGAGCAGTAGAGTGTTTTTCCTGGCTGGCAGACGGCATCAGGCCTGTTTATGAGAAGCACAGACCTAGTGTGGCCTCTTCAGAAGACACTGTACTTTTCACACAGGGCCAGTTTTCCCTGGGCCACTGGTTTACACCAAATTACTTAATGTCCTCTTTCTCCTTTCCTCTCCCAGCCTTCTCCTCATTTCCTCTTATTTAATAGTGTCTTCCTGCTAGGCTAGTCTCAAACTCGGCCTCGGCTCGTGGTTACTTGGACCACCGGTATGTACACCACACCAGGCTCGCTCCCTCTGTCAGAGAAGACTAGTCCTTGCATGATCCCCAGGGCTGCTTTGGGAGGCCCAAAGTCTCCTTCTGTCGGGTCATCTGAAGCTTCATCTGTCTTCATCTGAAGGTCATCTGTCTGAGCTTCATCAGATGAAGCTCATCTGAAGTGCCCCAGAGCTACCATGTGAAGCTCTGGCTGCCCTCCCTGGGAAAGATGAGCAAGTAGCACCCTTCACGCCTGGATCCCAGTGTAGCCCAGATTACAATACACAGTAACGTGACTCACCCTGTCCCTATAGGACCCTGTAATCCCCCAAGGACCAAAGATGTTGGAAAATATTTCCCAGCTGTTTCAGTGTTCATTTAAAATTAAATTGCTCTGACCACTTCCATATCTTGAGGTAGGCCTCATGCTTTCCGACCCCAGCCTGGGTTTGGGGCTTGTGCTCTTGGCTGACATGACAGTCTGGTTCTCCAGGACTTCCTCAGATGAATCCCGCAAAACAGACACTGCACAGCAGACCCAGGAACCCCCTGACACCGTGCTTCCTCTGACCAGCTGACTTCTCTCCTCACCAGGGTCACTTCTTGAACTGTAACTCACATCTCTGGGAGTGTTTTGGCTTCACATGCAAAATAACAGTGGTGGCATTGAACCTGAGGTAAAGCTCCTGTGTTCTGGGAAGAACAAGGGTTGGCATGGTGGTGTGAATGGAAATGTCCCTAATATGTGAGGCGTTTGAAGACTTGGCCTCCAGCTGGTGGCACTCTTTGGGGAGGATTAGGAGGTCTCCAACATGGCAGTGGGGGTGGGCACTGGGGGTTTAAAGCCTCACCCTACTTCAGGTTCACGTATAACTGGTCTTTGCTGCTTTGTGGGCTCTTCTTTTTCCCACCCTTTATCCTTCCAGTTTCACACCCCAACACTAGATAGGAGAGAAAAAAGGATGGAGGGGAAAGAGGAATTAGGAAAACCCCTGAATCTTATTTCTTTCCTTTTGTTTCTTCTTTGACCATGGCTACTAACAAACCAAAAACAACCTCCCTAAACATCCACCAACCCCACCTCTAACATTTATCTACTCTCTGAAAAGTTCCCAGAATTCCAGTCATGCAACCACAGAAATTATCTGCAGCTGGAAAAGCCACACTTCTGCTAGAGCAGGAGGCAAACATGGCCACCAGCTGTGAACAGTTCAAAGCAGCCTCAATCTCCCTACCCTACAAGACGAAAGTCAATAAGACCATAAATACAGTTAGGTGAAGTTCCTGCCTCACAGGTTACAGTGAGACTACAGCTGGAGGGACTTCAGTCAGAGTACAGGACTTGGATTGAAAGAATAGGAAATGATCGCTCTGATGTCTTTTGTAGTGAGAATTCTGGAATTTTGGTTTTCCTTAAAAACACATGCACAAATATAAGAATAGTTTTGGTTTTAACCCCAGGGGTGGGGAATGGGGCTGCTTCGCAGCAGCCGACTATGATTTGCCTCGTGCTCTAGCAGAGATGTGATTTTGCCAGCCGCAGCTAGTTCCTGTGTGTGACATTTAGAACTTTTCAGAGGGCATGTAAACTAGGGCCCCAGGAGGTGAGGTTTATGGTTGGTCGTTCAGGGGTGGTGGTTGCAGTTTGTTAGTAGTTGAGCTCAAAGAAGAAACAAGAAGAAAGAAATTAGATTCAGGGATCTCTGTCTCTCCTCTATCCTTCTTTCCAGTGATAGGGGATGAAACCACGGGGATAAAGGCTGGGAAAAAGAAGAATTTACAAAGTAGCAAATCAGCGAGAGTCTTTGAAACCCCTTCAAAGACTTGTGAGATAATGAGAAATCTTACCCTGCAGAGAAAGACCCTGGGAGAGGAAGGTTGGGGGCTCAACTCTTCTATACTGTCACTGCTGTTTTCATGCTATTTCTAAGATTGCGCTTGATTTTGGGGATCTACTGGATACTGCTGACAGTGACAGCAGACATGTGCACATCCCATGTGTAAGGACCCTGAAGAGAACAATAAGCCATACAGCGTTTATCTGCACAGAAGCCACTCTCCACCATGCTTGTGAGGCCAAACGAGATAGTACTGTCCTGTCTTTCTGCTTTCCTCCATGCCTCCACTCAGAAACCTAGTTAAGACCAGCCCTTGCAGCCATTTGAGAATGCTGTAGAGCCAACATGAGGCTTCCCACACTGCTCCATCCGCTCCAGAAATGATTTAGAATAAAAAAAAAAAAATCACATTTTGAGCTGCTAATAATGCCCAAAACATAAAATCCAACAATTTCTGCAGTGACTAAACAATGGAACACTGTAAGAGTTGCCATCAGGGGTCTTCCTGTAAATGGCTTAGCAGTAACAACAGGGTAGGAGCAGAGTGCCGACATTCATTTCATTCCTTCTGAACAAACTAAACGTAATAATCAACATAGCCACCAACCAGCAAGTGCAGGTTAGGACTTTGTAAACCATGAATCAGTAACCGCTTCTTCTCAGGCTAACTGTGTTACAGAGCCGACCGGTCCTAGCATTCTGAGTTATGAAGGTTGAGAGGAAAACACAGCACAAGGTTCTTACTGAAAGCTGGACAGAGCAGCTAAGAATTCAATGACGAGGAACACGGAGAGTCATGACCTAGAGCCTGAACAGTGTACAAAAGTGCAAATCAAGGCTGTGTTGGAGGTGGATCTGATGCGTGTTATTGGCCCTCAAACCTGCCTAAGTCATTATACCTGATTGGTTGATTAAACAGCCAATACCTGGGCAGGGCAGAACGGGGTAGGCGTGGCTAAGGTTCCAGGGCTTTTGGGTTCAGGAGAGAATCATGGGAGAAACAGACAATGGGAAGAGAGGAGGAAGGAAGACGCCACAATGGGTTAGTGTGGAAAAGAAACCACGTGGGCTAGGAGAAAGGACTCCGATAATGGTGTGAAAAGACCCAGATGAAGAATACAAGCAAGTACCATGGGATTATGGATGGAAGGTGGACCAGACAGAAAGGATTAAGATGGGTGGCATTGGATGGGGGCTGGGGGATGGATGGTGAGGATATTCAGACAACGTAGGTAGGAATGTCTGCCCGACCTAAGGTAAATAAGGCGATTATAAAACCTAACAGGTATCTGTGTCTTATTATTTGTGATAGCGGGTTAGATAATGCTGCCATGAAAATCTTAGGGATAATAATAGATGGTATATAGCCCACCACTCATTTTTTAATATTTACTACAGCAAGGTTGATTTAACCATAAGAAAAATTGACAGTTTTATTTTTTAAATTCCTGAACATCCCTAAATATCACAGTTCATTTCAATGAATGTCATAAAAACCTGCAAAATCAAGTTCATTAATGTAGCCAATCTGCTCAGTTTTAGTTTGGGGTGGAAATTAAAACATCTGAAAATAATACAGCTGTCTAAAGTGTCAATACTAGTCAGTTACACAATGCTCCGCAAGTTTCCATTGTATGTAATATTAAAATAACTGGAAACTCTCATCTCTGAGTAAAGCACACAGCATCCCACATGAGAAGATGGGCACAGCTCCAGCCTCCTGTGTTCAGCGGGGCAGGGACAGGCTCCAGTGCTTCAGTTTCACAGGGGCTTGGCTGATGGGACAGGCAGAGCACCACGGAACATGTCCTTCAGTGCTGGAGGCAGCAAGCATCCCAAAGAGCAGTGCGTTTCTGACGCTGTGCTCGTCTTTTGTTCTTTGGCTTCTTAAACAGCATGATTTCACTGTCAGCCACTGGGAAGGGGCTTCTGGGAATCTAGTCTTTATGTCCCTTTCCATACACAGCACAAAAATCTACCTACAAGAACTTATTCCTGACAAGCGGACCACACCAGAAAACAGTCTGTCTCTCCATACGATAAGGATATCTGCCAATGTCTCTGGAGGCCGAGGCAGAAAACCCTCAGCTGTTGGATAAGACCCAGTGGTACCAATTCTGGGGAGCCAAAGGACACTGCCACCTGGTGCAGCTGGAGTTCTCACAGGCTCCATGACAACACATGATGCCATATACTATTGACCAATTAGAAAGAGGGATGAAGTGGACTTTTGAACTTAAAAAACAAAAAAAAGCAATTTCTATAGCCTGAGTCATTGAACACTATGAACACATGTAATTCCACAAATTTATAGCTCCTTAGCTCCTTTCAGGACCTAACACATGCTCCTGGTCTTCACTTCCCTCACTGAAACATACCTCACAGAGGCCCTGCAGACACCCTGGGACCCCCGAGTTCCCCAGATCCTTTTGTAATCGTAGTGAAAGTAGCCATACAGACCCCTCTGCTCCTTGGAGGGCCATGTATATTCTGTCTGTTTCCATTTATTCTCACAACTAACAAGCACACCCGCCCGCACAGGCAGAGGAGCTTGCGTCTCTGCCCTAAGACTGTCTACTAGAAGTGGTTCTGAGATCTATGTTAAAGCTGGACATCTGCCCTATCCACAAAGTGGCTAAAGGGCCAGAAGCAGCAGCAAGGGCAGGTTGGAAAGGCAGGGTGAGGCAGGCAGTCTGAGTGACAGGGACTGATGGGGTGCATACCCTGCCTGCACCAACTCCTGGCCCCTAAGAGTCACAGAGCTGCCCAGAAACCTTTCTGTGCCACTCATGTTTATACATCAGCAATCCTTCTGTACCAGCTCGGGGTACAGAAGTCTTCCGGCTCTGACTTCAAACAGGATAGGGAACTCCCTGTCCAGGAAAGGCAGACCTGAAGGCCGTGTCTATACACCCAAGTGCCAGTGGCAAGTCCTCAGAATCAAAGGGAGGGGAAGGTGAGAAATGAGTAAAAGGTGCCAACCCTGTAAGAGCAAACAGCGTGAGCTACACTCAGAGCTCACAGAACAATGCCTGCTGGAGGGTGACCAGCTGTCCTGACCAAAAGAGGTTGAACTGAATGCCTAAAAGTATCCTTTGGGAAGGTTGTTTTATGGGCTTTTTCCTTTGAATAACTTGCTTATCAGGGCCAGTGTAATATGGAGATAAAGGCCAGTGTACTCCAACTTGACCTCACACGGAGTCAAATGCCCTGGTATGCGGCAACAGCCTGAACTGGCTGAGTGGCTACATGGGAAAGGGGACCACTGCATCATAAAGCAAGCAATGGGAGAGACAGAAAAGGGCAGGGAAAGAACGAAAGAAACCCTTCTATCTGCTTCAGTGTGACAAGTGCTTTCCAAAATGATAAATGAAAAGGAAGGCAGTGAACATTAAGGGGACATAGAAAGAGAAAGGAGCCTTTCACCCAGGAAGGAGCTTGCTTGAAGTCTTTCTACAGCTGAGAGTCAAGAATTCCAGTATAATTAATAAAAATCTGTTATAAAGGTCAACTACAGAGAGACAATTTGGTTTTTTTCACAGAGATATTTCATATAAGAATGTTAAGATACCAACAAATCATGCTTAAGGCCTAAGCATGGATGACCACGCTGCATTTGGTCTACTCCTTTTCCAACTGTAAAACTTCAGCTTTCTGAAGTTACACAAGAGTGTAAATTTTGTTTACAGTAAACAGGTCTTAATTTCCTATAACCTAACATAGTAAAGCTTCCCTCAACTCTTCTGACCTATTGCTTTGCCTTATCAGTCTTTAATTCTGTTCAATATACCTCAGGAACTACTCTCTGCTCTCATTTACAAAGAGAGACTAAAAAGGGAAAAAAAAAAGAATTTCTTAGAATAATTTACACATTATAACTTCAGAAGCCACCAACATTATATGTAGAGCTATTGATGAAGCCCTAAAGTGACTCTCTTGAGAAGTCTATGCCCATACTTGGGAGTACAGGATCTTCCCAAACACTTTTCTATTGATACCCTGCTTAAATCTGTTAAAAACTTCTTAATAAACTCCAACTCTATTTCACAGTGACTTGTCCTGAAATTCTTTTCTTTAGAATTTAAGAATTCTAATCTCACTTAGTGGAGCTCTCTCAAAAGAACTCCTCAGTCTGCTATAGGTGAAGTTGTGTTTCCAGTTCCTCTTCCTGCTGCCACTAACCAAGAGCATGTCCATCTCCAAAGGGCTCACAAACCTGGCAGTCACAAATCTCCTCCCTGATTCGTCCATTTGACTGTAAACAGATTCTTTTTAATCCCAAGGAATATCTCTATTAAAAAAATTACTAGTGCCAAGTGATAGTGGTGCATGTCTTTAACCCTAGTACTCAGGAGGCACAGGCAGGCAGAACTCTGTGAGTTCAAGGCCAGCCTGGTCTACAGAGTGAGTTCTAGGACAGCCAAGGCTATACAGAGAAACCGTGTCCTGAAACAAACAAACAAACAAACAAAAAAAAAACAATAAAACAACACAAACCAACCACTCCCACCCCAAAACAAACAAACAAAACACACACACACAAGCACACACACACAAACTGGCATTGCATGAAAAGTGGTGACACTACAGAAAAAGGTGTTGTACTCACACTCGTTGGGTGCTGAACAGCAGCTTCATATTGTAGCCTCACTCTCTGGGGCATCATAACATCATCCTGTATAAAGAGTACATTCTAAATTAACATCAGGCAACTCCAACACAGCACACATACAGTCTAAGACCACAGCGGCAAACAACCTGAGTCGGCAATTCAGATATCCATACGCACCCTCTTTGTCACCAAGAAAAAGCAATTATGTGATTGGTGAGAAAGAGGAAAATTCTGGCAGTCTAAATATGGCTCAGAATGAAGGACAGCAAGGACACTCACGTGCTTGTGTAAAGTACCACAGTTGTTCTCAGAGATGTCTCTGCACCAGCCAGTAAAGCTAGAGGTACACAGAGTCCCTGAGACTTAGCAAGTTCACCATCTCTGTAGAAAAGGTCCTCTACCCAGGTAGGATTCGAACAGTTCTTTCAAGACGTGAAGAAACAAGCTGCACACATTTCTGCTCTCAAGGTGCACTCGGTGTGAAAGCAGTCACAGCTGCTCAGGTCAGTCAGTCCAGGACAAAAGAAGACACGGTACCACTTCACATACTTAAATTCAAACCCTAGAAAGACTAACTGCATTATTTAATAAATACACACATAATGAAAACAGTAACGAAAAGTGAGGACAGTGTGGCCCTGACAGCCCAAACTGAGGTCCCTCTGGGCAGGGAGCCCCTGGCAGGAACAGCATGGCAGGTCCATCGGGTGTTGGCAATATGCAGCCCTTACATGTGTTCTGCAAAATAAGGGTCTGTGCATTCTCCATGGGACACTTCATTCCATAGTAAAATAAGCCATTTTTCAATAGCCCGTCAACAAAGACTGAAGTATTTAGGGGATGTGGGAGCAGGCGACAGGGGAAATCTTCTAAAATAACGCTGCAGTGACTGCGGCCACCTGCCACTCTCCCAATGCTCACAAGCAGATGAATAAAGGGGTTATGGCACATGCCCAGGTGGCTGACCTGGAAATCTGGGGAAACGGATGACTACAAGGGACTGAGGAAGAGCAGTGTGCAGGCAATTTCTTGGTCTCTTAGTTACCATGCTCTGCAACTAAAGCCGGTAAGAAACCACAACATAATCCAGGTAGGATGAGAAACAGTCCAGACCTTTTCCAGGTAAAGAACCAACTCCACTGAGGTGCTCGGTAGAGGATTGTTAGATAGAGAACTGTGAAATGGAGCCAGGAGGAAGTAAAGAACTTTCCATTGCCAGCACCTCATGCGTCTGCCACGCTGCTGCTCCCAGACACTTTCTGCTCAGAGGGGCCTCAGGTTTGGGCTGTCAGGCCACACTGCCCTCACTTTACTGTTCTCATCACGTGTGCATCTATTAAATAATCTGGTAGTTCTCGTAGTGTTTGAATTGAAGCGTGTGGGTACTGATCTGAGCAGCTGTAACTATGACCATGTGACCAATTACAGAACCGCGGCTATCGAAGTTATAATACAGTCCACCTGAATTTGTTACAAACACATTAAGCAAACTTCTTTGTTTTCTTCCTTTTCCACATCACTGGAGGACTGTGATGCTTTGGGGAAGAGCCTGCACATGTTCAGCTGTAAGCGGCACAGCCACACCTAACCCTGGCTGCACCGGAGTGTTACTGAAGGAGGCATGTACGCACTCCAGCTTAGCATAGGGCAGACATGTGATAATTAGTTTTATGTGTTAACTCGACTGCCTAGCGTGGCATGATGCTTATTTTGTGAAGGTGGATCCGGAAGAGATTAGCATTCTTATCAATGGACCGAGACCAGCCCCCACCCCATCCCCACCTTCTCTTCAGCTTCTCTGGGTTCTGACTGATACACACGGAATTAAGCAAGACTCCAATTTTACAGCTCAGAAATCTATGCAAAAAGCACAAATGCTCAGTGTTGCTCTCATGAGCTGAAAGAATATTCAAATATGGTTTCAACCACTTCTGCTGTTGAGTCAGCAGCTACCATAAGAACAAAGAGAGAACAAAAGGAATTAATACACTCATTGGCCAAATGGCTGAGAAGCTAAAGAAGATGTGAACAGACACTCCATCCAGAGTGGACAGAGAAGTAAGTACTAAACCTTATATGGTGACTAGTAATATTAAATAAGCTCTGTTTTCCTGAGACCACCAGAAAGAGAAGAAAGTGACCAAGAGACTGGAGAATGAAAAGGTCTGTTTTGAAACTGAAAACAAGGGAGAACTTTGCTAACAAGCCAGGCAGTGTTACTGCAAGGAGAAGGTAAAACCAAACTGACCCACCAGCTCCCCCCTCTGTGGGCAGGCTTACTGTGCCAAGTTCACAGGAGTCAGCTGGCATTTGAAATGCAAAGTAGAAGGGCTAACAGGCCAAAAATGCATGATGCCATCAGCATCAACCATGAAAGCAGAGTACATTCATCTCTGGGCGCATGCCAAGGAATATTACCTGGAGCTTTCTTCTCACAGTGAGAGGTAAATTTGAAACATTCTACACACAATTGACATTCCTGGATATGCATAAAATTCCCAGAGGGGCTGAAATTCCACAGTTATGAACAGGGAATCATCACTGTGGAATGATGGGGCAGCCTGGGAAAAGAAACTAGAAGCATCATAGAAAGGGTATCAAGAGCCTGGAGAGACAGTCATGAGCATTTTCTGCTTTTCTAAAAGCTGGAGTTCAGTTCCCAGCACCAACCTATCAAATGGATCACAACCAGATCCTCAGGACCCAACACCGTCTTTTGGCCTCCTTGGGCAACCATACACATTATGTACATGAACACATGTAGACACACACAGACATACTTGTTTAATTTAAAAAAAAGCAGTAACTAAGAATGAAATGCTATTGAATTCTGACATAAAAATATCTGAGGAAAGGCTGCTAGTCAAGAGAACTGAGGAAAATAAAGGCCAGGCTTCCAGTGACGTCTCTCCGAGCCAGGCACCCTTGAGATGACAGGTGCAGAGAAGCCTTGGGGAAACACTAACCAGTGAAAACATTAGCGACCACTGCAAACTGTGCCTGCCCCAGAGAACACATGTAGCTTGTTCCAAGTTTTCCCGTGTTTGCTTTGGGGCGAGATAAGGAAACAGGGAGAAACTTCCTGGTCATGTCTAACTGCTGTGAACTGAACTATGGAGGAGGAATGCACCACCCAGCCACTTCCTGAGCTTGCTCTGAAGAGGAGTGTCCTGTGATGAGGAACTCCACAATACTCTGATCTGTGGGGTTTCCCCTTCTCAGCAATGAGCCTTCGACGGTAGGTGAAGGCTGACGCTGGTTCCCCACTTCAGGTGGTTGAGTCTCTCCACAAAGGTCCTGTCTAACTCCAACACCTGTGGCTCCTTCTTTGAAGGTCCAGACAGAAGCCACAGAGCATCAGCATACCGGACAGACAACTCTCACGTGCTACCGGATGGCAGAGCAAATCACTGACAATCCACCGCTATTCTGTGGGCCAAGCAAAACATACTGGCCCAGTGACTATTTCCCAAAGCCGACGTTCTCCACACATCTCCTCCGCCCTGTCAGACGGCACATGCCCCAGACGCCTACATAGCAGCACCATACGAACTGAACCACCTGACACCGGAGCGAGCAAGTGCATGCCGTGATCTCCACCTCCACAAGTCATATACTCGAGGTCCTACCTCGTCTCTCTCACTTTCTTCCACAGAACCCAGAAGAGGACGAAGGAGCTGACTCAGCTCCGCATCTCTGCAGTCCTGCAACCCTGAAGACCTCTGCAAGGACTTGCCACCCAACGCAACCTTCCGCTGTCTGGAGGAGCATGGACCCCTGGCTGTGGGCTCCTACCCTTCAAGAACATGCCCAGTTCATGTGCTGTGTACTGGGATACAAACGGGGAGTTCCCAAGTAATCAGCTGATAGGTGCACAGAACACAGGGAAAAACCAGCAAAAACTCACTCTATTGGAAGGGTAAAGGACACGGTGGACGGCCAGATGAGGAGGCAGATACAGTGAGACCCGTGGGATCCAAGCGCAGGGCTTCCTAATCCCATGGGACTGGGGTGTACTTTCACCTGTCTTCCAGAAACTTTCCATGCTCCTGGTTAAAGAGATTACAGAGGCTGCACCAGGCAGGTGTGATTTACTGGTCCAATCTCCAGCCCTGGTCTCCTCCCTGGCAACTGGGGCTGAAAGCGCTATGCTTTTACCTCTAGGTCTGGTTTCTGGCAGACAGCCTCGTCCTGACCAGTAGCCCATCTAATCACCGCTGAGCACAAATGACATTTTCTGGGTGCTCTATTTGGATTTAGAGTATCTCTCTAATGCTTGTGTGTGTAAGGTTCTGAGCTTATTACTGCAAGGAAGTATGGAAGCTTGAAGAGATGGGACCTCATTTTAATGGAGGTTTCTTTACTGGGATGTACTTCAATACCTTTTTTTAAAGACTTTTATTATTTGGCAGAGTAACTTCCATTTTATTTATTTATTTATTTCCCCAAGAAAAGGGTTTCTCTGTGTAGCCTTGGCTGTCCTAGACTCACTCTGCAGACCAAGCAGGCCTTGAACTCACAGCAATCCTCCTGGATCTGCCTCCCCGAGGGCTGGAATGACAGGCGTGCACCGCTGTGCCTGCCTGTAACTTCCGTTTTTAAAAAAGAGTCCACCTAAACTATAGACACACTCACATGAGATTTTGTAGTTCCCTGCAGAAAGCTAGCTGTAAGCGAGAAAAGTGATAAGAGACAGAGAGATACAAGCCTCAGGTCCCAGTTCTTCCTCCCATTTTCGTGTCTCTCATGAACTTCCAGAGCCAAAAGGCTCAGCGTGAACAGCTTGTTTTCTGTTTTTAGTCTAGGGGAATAGCTAGCACCTGAAGGTGGAACCAAAACTTCAGGGTAAAGCACAGCAGAGCAGCGGCCCACACAGATCCTGTTCTCCAGACACCTGCACTAGGCCCACAGCAGTGACAGTCTTCACCTGCTTCCTAAAGCTGAAGCGGGTTCTACAGAGCCAACACCAAGGCTGTTTTATAAATAACTGCACACTACAACAGATACGACAAATACAAAAATCACACACGGCACGCGACAGAGAAAACGTCCTCATCCAGCTGGCAACGTCTGTCTTCAGTAAGTTACTGACAAACGTGCTATCCAAATTCAGTAAAGACGACATATACAGAACTTTGACTTCGAAATGTCAGCCCTCCCAAGGCAACCCTGTGGGCCAGTTCTCCTCCTGCTCCTTGCATGGAGAGGAGGTTCCATCTCCTGGTCTATGCATCCCCCCACTCCCATGTACCTGGAATAAAGCAACTGAAACAAACTTTGTTTGCACAGCTGCATAAGCCAATGGGCAACATTCCCATGGGCCCTGGCGTGCACGTTTCTAAGAAGCCAGGAGCCCAACCTGTGAAATAATTTAGATGCATAAAAGTTGTATCTTTTGAAACAGACCTTGTTTGTTTTTATTCTACCAGTGCTTCTGAGGACAGCACAATTCACACAGTCTCTGTTCATCCATTACAGCCAAGCATCCCACTCCTAAGGGCCCGTAACCGTGATCATCCTCTGACAGTCTGCTAGTGTTCTTCACCAGGACTCAGCCAGCACACAGTAACTGGTTTCTACTTTCTGTCATAATGAACAGCATAAGGATATCTGCACACAAATCTTCCCCCCAGATACCAAGAGGTGAGAATTAGGAGTTGAGGACACAAGCACCAAAGTTCTTGAACAAAATGCATGATCATGCTGTCAAGTGGCACCAATTCACACTGAGACACTAGCTACATTTTGGAAACACTTAATTTGCTTTGTGGAAGTATCTTGTTAATTTGTTTGATCACAAATTAAAATTTTAATATAACTTTGATTTGAGCCTACCTGTCACCTATCTGTAAACTTCTTACCTCTACCTTCAAATCTGCTTCATGTTTTTCTCTAGTTATCACGAACTATTTCCATTTCTTAATCCCTTAAGCAGCATATTTGCTAGTATTTTGTTTATCTTAATGTCCTTTGTATTCTCTGTGGTCCTATTTTACATATTAATTATTGTTAATTAAGTGCCATGCAGCACATAGCAACAACGTATTAAACCTGACTACTGAGAGCCATCATAACATATCTAAAAACAATTTTAAGAACCTACTAAAATTCACAATCATTATTTGGTCAATATATACAAAGCCACTGTAAACAAAACAGAGAGCTACTTACTGAATCCAAAAAGCAAAGATAAGACCCTGTGCTCTGTGCAACCGCTTGGTTTTTAGAATATCCAACTGTTAGAAAAAGAGAAAACAGCCTTTTTAGAATTGAGTTTTTAACAGCATAAAGCTAAGTGTACTTCAAGAAAGCCAAGGTCATTTCACACTACTACCAAAACTCCAGGTACAGTTTTGAAGGAATGAAAAGAAGGTAAGCAGAAAGCAGTGGCCATGTTTAGTGATAATATTATAGAAGGCCAAGAATAAGTCGTGATGGCATCTAGAACAATATTAAAATAAAAGTGAAATATCCTTGGGAAGTGTGCAAACGTCTGGAAGAACGCAAAGCCTACTTATGTGTGACTAGTTGCTAAATGCCTCAGTCTGAATACCTCATGAGTGGCTGGTTGAGCACTGTGGCCCTGGAGAGTGACTGCCAATGTCTGCCACATCCAAGGGTGCCCACACCCAACCTAGGCCATCGCCGAGTATGCACTGAGCATCAGTACTCAGTACAGACCCAAGAGAACTTTAGCCATGATTAGGCATCCTGAAAGTCTGGAGCTGGGGCTGCCTAACCTTATACTGGACAGACACTACTTACTTGACTGGACAACCCAGGGTTTCACACAGCAATGGCGGTGAATCTTACCACAGTATCAAGCACAGGGATCAGACCCAAAGAGGCAGAGACTGCAGGGGACACAGAACTCAGAGCAAAGAGGTCATTCTGGGCTAAAGAGCTGGGAATGTGGTTATCCTGGATGGAGAAACCAATTTGGCTCGGGCTTCAGAGACTAGCTATGCCTTATCCCCAAGGAAAAGATATTGAAGTGTTTAAAAACAAAAACAAAAACAAAAAAACAACCTGTTTCCTTTAAAGAAGTTACAACTGAGTTGTAAAAGATAAAAGAAGCAAACAAACAAGAAAGCCCACAGCAACAACTAAATGAATGGTGCTGAAAAAGCATAAAAGCGTAAAAGACAAAAATGACCACAAAGAAAATCAGCGAGAACCATGCTGAATTGATACAAAGAAAATCAGAGCGAACCATGCTGAATTGATACAAAGAAAATCAGAGCGAACCATGCTGAATTGATACAAAGAAAATCAGAGCGAACCATGCTGAATTGATACAAAGAAAATCAGAGCGAACCATGCTGAATTGATGCCGACAGAAAGCGCAGTAGTGCAGTCGCGCTCACAGTGGAAGGACAGACCACTCTTGGAGTAGCTGACTGTCAGCGATGCTTTTTATATGGTTTTATTTTGGTTTCTTATGCCTCTTCCTCCATTTTCCACCACAGTCCCTTCCAACCACCCCAAGTACAGGGTAGGATGGAAAGGAGGTTAGTGGGGAGAGGGGATAGTTAGTTAGGGGGAGGTTAGGCTACTTCCTGCTGGTTAGGGTCGTGGGGTTCCTTAGAGCAAGTCCACCACTTGTTTCAGGAGATCTCCAACATCTCATCCGACCGCATGAACAGCACCAGGAGCAGCAGGGGTGGACACCAGCAGCCGCCTTCTTTCTCAGGGCCCCTTCTCTCTCCGGGCCCTGGCATTTATTCTCTCAGAGTCCTCAGAGTTAAACTATCTGCAGCTGGCAAAGAGCTCCTCTCAGAGCCCGCACCAGGCAAATAGTTTGCTGCCGTGGACCATCAGAATCAGTTCCACATCCCACACCCGGGATCAAAACAAAAACATGTTTCTCTCCGCAACAGCTGACTGTTGGGGTAAGAGGGATCAACTTCGCCCTCTGGACAGGGGAGCTGCTGAGGCTCGGAGGCTAAGGGTACTGTGCAAAAAGTGACACAAGCTCCTCAGGGCGGCCAAAGGCAGATCCATTAGAGCTCAGCCCAGAAGAGGGCACTAACGGGGCCTTAAGGAAGATGAACTCTGTTGCTAAAAGGGAGACTACCAACACCGGAATCACACTCACCAGATGGCTACAGTCTTGATGCTGAGAAAATTCACACAAAGAAAATGTGTACAGAGTTGAAACAATCTCTTTGGTATCTGAAGTTAAAACAAGCTGAAGAGAGTTCTCAGTCCTGATGAAACACCAGTCAAAAGTACATTTCAGCCAATTATAACAACTTCTGCTATAAGGAAGGTCTCTCATATAGGATCTATTAGTACAAAAGCTACACACACACACACACACACACACACACACACACACACACAGAGGGGGAGCAATGCTATGGCTGAGATGCAAGACACAAGACATAGGAAGCTGCCCCCTTCACTCCTACCCCTAAGATCCAACTCAAAGCAGCATCCTTCTGCAGGGTTCAGATAAAGTAGCAGTTTAATTTCCAGCATTCATCTCTAGAATTTGGCCAGTCCAAACCAGTTAGCAATGGCCCCAAATTCTGAAGAACTATAAACAAAGGCAAAGGAGAAAATGACCATGAAAGATACTGTGATGCCTCCCACCCTGAGATAGGTTTGCAACAACCAGGAAACCCCAGGCATCCCTGCAGAGCAGGACAAGCATGCAGAACAGATACTTCCTGAGAACCTCCACAACAGAGACATGAACACATTTTTAACAAGAACACTAACATTAACAGAACTCTGTTACAAAAGTTGCTTATGGAAAGTCAGATTTTAAGAGAAACCGAATCCTTCAACTGTGTAATGACGGCAATTCTAGCTCACTGAGGGTGCTACAAGTTTCTCACAATAAATCCTGTGTTTGGCAAAGACAAGGAATTTGCTTAATATTATTGCCTTGAAGAAAGTCAAATGTTTGTGTGGGGGCTCCATGTTTGGGGAGGCCAGTTCCTTTGTGTGAGTAGCTGGTTGTCATGGTTCCAACAGGAAAAACCCAGCTCCATGGAGATATTAACATGCCTCACTCCTGGGGAGGAGCAGGAGGCAGTGGGTCATTCTGCCTTTAGCGAAAAGCCACAGGACGAAGTGTCTTTCCGTTGTTATCTGTCCTAACCCACTGAAATAACCCAGCATGCCTGAAAACAGAACCTCTACACTTATGTTATGTAATGACTAAGGTAACACGTCCAACTTAATGTATCTCCAAAGAACCAGCTAAACTCTGCTGTGCCATACAGGAGTCTCATTCCTCCCCATGACAATGCGGTGCTGTCATCTCCACCTGGGGTCCTTAGTTTTACAATGACCTTGTCGTAGACAGAACACATTCAGAGACGATGTGACTCGGTGACAAGCAATGCAGGGTTTATGAGAGACAAAATCTGTTTTTAACGCGGAGACAAGAAACATCAGTTATCAAAATGCCTTATTCGTTCAATGAATAAAAGCTGCAAAATTGTTAACTAAAGAATATCAAAGAACCTTTAAACAACAAATTCATGTTTCAGAAGTCGAAGCATACATTCTATAGTATAGCTTTCTATTTCAATCTAAAGATAATAAAAGTAGAAAATAATGCCCAGAAAATACTAACATTTTCCAGATGCACAAGATGGAAATGGATGGAAAGAGTACAGCCAGAACCGGCCATCACTGCTCAGATACTGTTCATCGTTGAGACAAGGTCTCTCATGAGCCTGGATCTCACTAAACAGGCTATGGGACTATCCTAGGACTGGCCTTTCTCCAGACATGCCACCACACTCAGCTTTTGGGACACAGGTTCTGGGAATTAAACCTGGGTCTCCACACTTGTAAGACAACCCTTTACTGACTCAGCCACCTCTTCAGCCCGAGAAAGTAGTTTTATTTAAATTTTGTTTTAAACGTTGTTCATGATGTTCTGCTTCCTCAAACAGCAACACTTCTGAGGACTTATCTTGACAGACCAGGTTCTGCTAAGTCTTAGCAGCCTGACTCAACTTCCAATATCTGTCCTGTACTTCACCCAGAACAACAAACACTGGCAGGAGACCGCAAAGGACAGTAACATCAGCACAGGAGGCTCTCAGACTCGGAGCACGTAAAGTATAAGCTACTTTCAGAAAGCAGCCAATCTATGCTTACTGAGAACGGATAGAAATGTTCCTATCTTCTAAGGGTACCTCAGGGTTCTAAAACACTGAGACCCAGTATCCCACGCTACCTAGAGTAGTGTCTACATATTGGGGGACGATGACAGCCCTGCCCCAAAGCCTGAAATGAGGACTGTGTGAGCTCACGGGTGACGTACACGCTAAGAATCATCAAGTAATGCAAACACGGCAGCACAGGCCTATAATAACAGGAGGCTGAGGCAAGAGGGCTGCCAAGGCTGATGCCAGCCTGGGCACATGACGAGATGGTGAGGAAGGAAGAAGGAAGGGAGGAAGGAAAGGAAGGAGGGAGGGAGGGAGGGAGGGAGGGAGGGAGGGAGGGAAGAAGTGAGAAAAGGAAGGAGGAAGAGAGGGAAGGAGGGAAGGAGGGAGGGAGGAAGGAGGAAGGGAGGAAGGAAGAAAAAGAGGGAAGGAAGGAGGAAGAGAGGGAAGGAGGAAGGGAGGGAAGGAGGAAGGGAAGGAGGAAGGGAGGAAGGAAGAAAAAGAGGAAGGAGGGAAGGTAGGAGGAAGAGAGGGAGGGAGGAAGAGAGGAAGGAAGAGAGGGAGGGACTTAAAGTATCACAGATGGTTTCAAATACAGCCAATACTATATTTGATGCAAAAAGCCATCTCTTGGCAAATAACTTACCAGCTCTACACTGGTATAAGTGTACAGCTGGTAAGACGGCTTAGTGAGCAAAAGCGCTTGCCACCAACGCTGTAGATGTTAGTGTGGTTCTAGAACCTACACGGCAGAAAGAGAGTTACCCTCTGACCTACACTCATACCCACTCACACTATAAATCAGTGTTTAAAATGTTAAATTTCTTTTTATTGAGAAGAACTCAGAGCACCCATCACTAAGAGTGACCTGACCTAGCCCTTTTCTCATCTTAAGCACTATATGAGGCACACAGCCTCTTCAAGTCTGAGACCTTGAAGTCTCTGCCTCATCACAAGGAGAAGAAACACTATAAGGCAAATTTCGAAACTGAGGTACTGACTACCTTTTACGGTATCTTTCAAAGGTAATGAGGTGATCCTTTACAATTATGAGAAAAAATATTTTGCCCCTAGAATTCTTTGCCCCGACACACTACGTG